ATTTCAAAGTAAAATATTAGGCTACCTACGAGCATAAGCAATACACATCATAAAAGCAAAAAAAACAAAATCGTTTATTCAGTCTAGGCTATTACAAGCACTTGTGAATGTCGAAAAGCTACGCCATCGGTTCACAAATCTACGGCGGGAGATCTTTTGCTGAGAAGAACCAACAACTAACTCAGCAAGGGATGTTTTTTTCTCCCTGTATTATATACAGAGTCGTCAAATTGAAAAATTACTTAAATATGAGGTAACTTATGAAGTCACTTTCCATTACAAATGTAAATAATATAAAAATTATGACTATAAAAAAAATATAAACACATAAAACAATCAAAAAGTGTCTAACAGTAGGTACCTACAACTAACATCACACCAAATACTACACCCGTTAAACACATAATTACACACACAACTCTCTAGCTAAGTCTATTCATATAAGCTTGACACCATAATTAGTTGTTAGTTCTAATATTTTTTCGCAGTAAAATTCTAAAGAACGATGTTTTTATGCACAGTTTAAGCAATATAATATCGACAGAAAATGATAATATGTATATATACAGTAGACGACCTCCGTGGCAGAGTGGTTTGTACGCCGGGTTTCATGGTGTTGCCAACTCGAGAGGAACCGGGTTCAAATCCCGGTGGGGGCAGATGTTTGTGTGATGAATATGAGCATTTGTACTCCAGTCATGGATGTTTAATATGTATTCCTATATAAATAAACTTATATATGTACAGTATATGTATTCTATTCGTAACCCTAGTATCCCATAACACAAGCCTTACAGTGCTTACTTTGGGGCTAGGCTAATTGATGTGAGTGTTGGAAATATTATTTATTATTAAAAACAGTGATGTTCACACAATTAATACAAGAAACAAAAATAAACTAACTTTACCTGCTACTAGGCTTCACAAAATTAATAATTCATTTAAAGGTCTTTGTGTTCGCTTATACAATAAAGTCCCAAGCAATATCCAAGAGTTAGCCATAAATAAATTTAAAGATATTATAAAAAAAACACTTATTAAAAAAGCTTATTACAAAGTGTCTGATTATATTACAGACAAAAATGCTTGGGTTTGAACTGTTCCAATCATTCCAACAGGTTTTCTATATTAAATAAATCATAATTGTATTGACGTTGTAACAACATAATGATTTGTAAATGTTGTTACATTAGACTTTTAATGTTGTGGAGTTTTTTTCGCTCGTTTTTCTCCGCAGCTAAAAAATATGTCCATAACGAGTGGTAGGGAAAAAAATTTTTTGGACGATTCAAAAGAGTTGTACTATACATCCAATTTGAATAAAGATATATTGATTTCTGATTTCTATATTAGATTTTGTGGTACGGAACCTTCAATGTGCGAGTCTGAGAACCACTGGGCCTGGATTTTTATTTTTTGTTGTGATGATAGTGATGTGTAGCCATCTACACGCATTCTGTGAAATTTTCAGTTATAATCTTCATCCGTTCAAGAGAAAGAGCCCTATGACAAACAAACAAAGCGCGTAGCAATAACAAAAGGTTCCATTTGTCACCATATAGGAACGGAACAATAAAAATAAAGACGTGATAGACTAAAAATATATTTATCATTATACTTTAAGGGGGAACGATGCCGGGCAAACGCCCGGCATCGTATTTTAAAATCAGTTTGTTGAATTGCCTTCACGTCACAAACGTGCGTAATTTTAAAGTTATCCTATCACAACATAATTTTCAAGGATATAAGTTTACGAAATAATCGATCCTGTTATGATAAAAGTGGTTTAAACGGTTTAATTTTATTAAACATACCTTTTAAATGAATAGTTTTACATTAAAAAGAAATAATACAAGGTCATAAAAACCAGTTGTGTTGCATTTTGCACAACAGAAAAGCTTGAAAATAAGCAAGAAACTATAATTATTATTACGTCAGAATTTTCTTAGTAGGTATCACACAATAAAACAAAAGACATAAATCATTTGAATTCATTTCAAATATTGATTCAAATATTCTAATATAGGATCCAAAACCGTCAGGCCTTACTTTATTTGCTCGTGGATAGGCACACGAAAAAAGTATCGATACTTTGTGGTATCGAGTACTTTCCGATTTAGTGGTCAAACGCAGGGTCTGGCACTATGGGTCGGCAGATTGGGATGGTATGCGCGATTACTTTGCGTCCGTCCCTTGGAAGCAGCGCTGCTTCAATGAAAAGGACCTATCATCCAGCGCCGTTGCCATTACTGAGGAGATCGTAATGGGAATGGAGTATTACATTCCACATTCTGATCTCATCAGTAAGGGCACACGTAACCGCTGGTTCAATCGCGATTGTGCCGATGCTGTTTCTCGTAAGCAGGCGGCATATCGCGCTTGGATCAGAGGCCGCGCTCTTAAGGATCCCGGGGTTAACTCACTGAAAGCTGCCTATAATAGTGCTTCCAAGTCTTGTAAGAAGGCTTACATCAGAGCGGATGCCCAACGTGTAACACGTACTGGCCACGAATTGTTAACGCACCCTACACCCTACGTTAAGGCCGTGCAACACTACTTTTGCCAGCCCTCGCTGCCACCTCTGCGATGTCCAGATGGGTCACTAGCTCATGAGCCGGAAGAGAAAGCCGATTTCTTGGCAAAGCTCTTTGCGGCTAACTCCCGAATCAGTGATTGCAATGCACTGCCACCTACACTACCTCATTGTGGCACTACGATGCCTGACATTAAAATCAGGCAGCGTGATGTTCGTGCAGAGTTGCAATCACTCGACGTCCGGAAAGCTAGTGGACCTGATGGCATCCCAGCAGTTGTTCTTAAACATTGTGCAGCGGAGTTGTCTCCCGTGCTTACGCGCCTGTACCAACTCTCTTACTCTTTGGGGCGTGTGCCGGAAGCTTGGAGAGACGCCAATGTGCAACCGGTGCCCAAAAAAGGGGACCGCTCAGACCCGGCCAACTATCGGCCGATAGCTGTCACCTCAGTGTTGTGTAAAGTCTTAGAAAGGGTCCTTAACAACCATCTGACCCGCTACCTAGAAGATTACTCTCTGATTCACGATCGTCAATACGGATTTAGACCGAATCGATCGACGGGTGACCTTCTAGCGTACGTGACACATATGGGGTGAAGCTATAGACAAGCGGGGAGAGTCTCTGGCTATTAGCCTTGACATCGCCAAGGCTTTTGACAGGGTCTGGCACAAAAGCCTTCTCTTCAAGCTGCCCGCATACGGTCTGCCTGCTCAGCTCTGCGCATGGGTAGCTGACTTCCTGCATGAGCGTAGAATTCGCGTCCTTACGGACGGATGTAGTTCACAGTTCATGTCAGTGAATGCCGGTGTTCCTCAGGGCTCCGTTCTATCCCCCACACTCTTTCTGCTGCATATCAATGATTTGATTCCACTTGCGAATATTCATTGCTATGCAGACGATAGCACAGTGCATGCGAGATACTTTGGACACGCGGCGGCTGGAAAGGTAGAAACCATGGAGAAACGGGAGAATCTTGTCGTTGAGCTCAATCGGACTTTGGACCACATTTCCGAATGGGGTACCAGGAACTTGGTTGAGTTCAATGCCAAGAAAATTCAGGCTTGCGCTTTCACGGCAAAAACATCGCCATTCCTTCCCCTTCCCTCTCTTCAGGGCACAACACTGGCGCTACAGAGCTATATTACCATGCTCGGTATGGAGGTTCGCTCAGACCTGAATCCAAAGGACTACATCGAGACCTTGATCAAAGCAGCTTCACGCAAACTCGGAGTCCTGAACAAGGTGCGGCGTTTTTTCACGCCCGATCAACTGTGCTTGTTGTACAAAACGCAAGTGCGGTCCTGCGTGGAATATTGCTCGCACCTCTGGGATGGCTCCGCTAAGTACTTACTCGCTGCCCGCATCATTGGCGATGAAGAGGTAACTAAGAAACTCGAGTCTCTACAATTACGCCGTGATGTGGCATCATTAAGCGCATTCTACCGACTATACCACGGCGAGTGTTCTGAGGAGCTATTCTCGCTTATCCCTCCATCACCTTTTCTTCAGAGGACCACGCGCGCTGGCCTACGTTGCCACCGACTTACTGTGGCCACTATTCCTACACGAACAAAGAAATTTGGCGACTCATTTCTTTGTCGTACTATTCGTAAGTGGAATCCTATGCCCGCGCACGTGTTCCCTCCCTCCTTCCTATAATCTGGGGTCCTTTAAGAGAGGCGTGAAGAAGCATTTTTGCGGGCCGGCAAAGTGAGGATGGTTGGTGTAACAGTTTATAACTGCTGTACCAGCTATCTTCGCGTTTGGACTTTATCACCACTTAACATCAGGTCGGGTAGAGTCATTTGCCTACCTAATCATATAAAAAAAAAAATGTTTATCGATATGACTTTTCAGATGTAGTATAAGTAGTAGCTATAAGTGGAAGCACGAATCTGATCATTCGGCCAGTAGTACCTGAACAAGTGTGTCATCGTATCGATTGGTCGATGTACAAGTGTAAATGCAGTAGCTATGAGTCGAAGCACGAATCTGATCATTCGGTCAGTGTTTTTGCCGCTGGTCGGGTAGTTATCAGCCCGCACCGACTGATGGCTGCTTCCCGCCCTTTGTTGTCCAATCATCCATCTGCGCGTAAAAAACACTGACACGTATGTCCTATACCTTTAAACTGTATGACTACTTTGTTATATTCTATGCCACTATACTGACGATCGTCTGGTAGGATTCCGTTCTGGATGATAACATCTATAAAGTACCTTACACTACTTTAAATTCTTTCTTTGAGAAAGATACTGATTATTTTATATAATTCGAATAAAAGTACTCCAATCTACTTGATCTTAAGTGTGCGTGTGCGTGTGAAGTAAAGCTGGTATACAATGCTTGCATTTCACCAATCTAGTTTAAACCGAAACCACCGTAACTTCAGGTTTTAACCTTAAAATAGGAACGAAACACTACAGAATACCTAAAAATAAAACAATACTTTCTATTTGTCTGCAGACGAGCCGCGTGCCGTTGGAAACGCATAACAAACCAGTGATTTGGTGTCAGTAGTCCGCACCCGCCGACATCACCCGCCGCCCGCCCGCATAGGATGGTAGAAACTGACCCCGGGCCCAAGAAACCTCACAGTAAGTACTAATGTCTACACAAAAATCAAAAACACATTTTCTTCCCTAAAAGCAAATACCAAAACTTAATTTGAAAAATCTCAAGTAGCAAACACCCCTGGTCCCTTTCCCTATATGTCATCTCCTTTTCTTCTCTTCGATACTCTTACTTCTTTCTAGCTTTTATTCATCTTATCTCTCGTATGTTCTCTACTCATTTTCTCTCCCTTTTATCCCGCACTCAGGTATTGATGAGGTCACAATAACCGAAATAAATCGCCCCAATAAGACCTTACCTAATTGCGTCAATAGCGTCAGCAGCAAGTAACCTACTTACATGCTTTAGGTATAGATAAGTAATTTAACCTAAACATACATTATTTGACAATAACAGTGTAATAAACAGTTTCTTTGACTAAACACTATTACGACTTTAACAAAAGGAGACTTTTGCCAGAGAATTAATTTTATCATACTGACATAGCGCAACCTTAATGTATCTGGAGTTTCTTCTAGTACTTATATCTTTGGGTGGAAGACAGCTCAATTACTTCATATTATACGACCTATTCACCCTGGGGAGGAAAGGAGTCACCTAATTTAAATTTTCGCTATTATATGTTGTTTTCGACAATGCTTCGGGCACAATCTGCATACGTACTTTCCTTAACAATACTAGATCCGGTGTAAATTTATTATATTCGATATTTTAATTAACATAATATATCTTACGTGAATGAGTACGTAAGTACTTAGGCTCTTTTGGTTACAAAAGATATATTTTCGCTTAAATAATTCCATCTTTATAAAATAAGAAAAACGAGCGAGCCGTACAGTAATCGCGTGTGATGTGTAACTTTGAAGATGAGGTAGGTATTATATTAGTAAAAAAGAAATAAAATCTACTACAAAACATTATGTTCTAAAATAAAAAAAAATAGCGCGCGCTTTCGTGACTTCCTTTGACACACTTCCGCCCCATTCCACGAAACCACTCCCACAAATTGCAGGAAAGCGAGAGGAAAGATGTTGCACATCAAATAATATACGCATAGCCAACAAAACACTTTTTGCATTGGTTTGAAAAACTATTGAGTAGTTCTATTATCCGGAAATTTAGAACATTGGAAAACTTCGTGAAATCTCCAAGTTTCCTTGGATGATGACACTTTTACGTTCAACAGATAACTCATGGTTATATTATTTACTGTTATATAAAGTTTCTGTAAACAAAGGGTTCATTATAGAGTTGAAATCTTCACGTCGTGTGAAGATCTTTACGGTCGATTTATCGTAAAATAAATTAAAAACCATAAAATAACATAGGTACAAGAAACGTGATTTTTTACATTTTTTGCTTGTAATGCAGTGCTATTTTACAACAAAAACCCGGGATTCCGGGTTTTTGTACCGTGGCTTCTGAGTCGCGCTTACATTAAGTTTTTATAAAAAGTATGTAAGCACTTGAACAGATCGGCGGCTATACCGCATCATCCCCTTCTCAGGGGATGATCGCTTCAGGTAAAGCTTTTAGTCAGTAAGAGTCTGACATTACCTTGCAGCCGGCTATAGGGTATCCATGAGGATTTCACAACCGTTTCCCCGCCTGAGAGGAAATTTTAAAAAAGGGCGGTAATCATTCGTTTTAAAAAAATACAAATTTCGAATTGATTTTGAGTTTGAGACGCAGTTTGACTTTGATTCAGGTATTTTAATTGAGATACATAGGTTGATATTACATAACTGGTTTTTCTAATTTCCGATATGGAAAATTAAGACTCAAATTATATTATGGTCACTACAGGCAACTACGGAACCCTACACTGAGCGTGGTTCGACACACCCTTAACCGGTTTTTTTAATGCATCATCGGCATAGGTATAAGGTATTTTCTGCCAAGTGCACTATTAACACGCTCGTGTTAACTTATTATATGACTAGTGTTCGTGCAATACTTGTTGCCTATTGTCCGCCGTGTTTTTCCGTTTTCGCCAATGCTTCGGACACAACCTACATACGTACTTTCCTTAACAATACTAGATCCGGTGTAAATTTATTACATTAGATATGTTAATAAACATATATTTCGTAACAGAATTTCATATTTTTTTTACCAATATAAGGTATTTTACATAAAATAAAATATAAACGGTTAATTTTATTTTTCAGATTGTGATGTAAAAAGGGACCTCCAGTTGAACGGGCCAAGCACCAAAGCAGCTGAACTTGGTAAGACAATTATCAAACTTCAATTCTTGTTTATACTGTGAGCCAAACCTGCAGAGAATTTTGTTATAACACAAAATTATTGAAGGGTTATTAAAAAAAATGTGTTATTTATCTAAAGTATTCTGTAATGTGGACGTTACTTCCCTAATTCGAGGCAAAAATCAATTATATTCTACCTCTCCCCTAAGTTACTCAAATATTTTTACTGTTTGTTTCAGGTGTCATTCCTTCATTAAAAACATCAGCCAAAGGAGACCCAGAGAAGGGAGGCTCAGAGAAAGCTGACTTCGAAAGGGCTATCGAATTAACAGGTAAGGGTGTGATTTACTTATATTTACTTTAATTTACAGTTAATCCATTTTAACACATCATTACATCCTTGTCAACTATCTCAATGAAAAAATAATGTTATTTTTCGTTTTAATACAAGTGGTTAAATCACAAGGGTTAAATGCACGGGCCCATAGTATGAATTACATTTGCATTTTATGTAATCTGTATCCTCTTTAGTTTTCGAATGGAGTTTGTAAAAAATATTCAATTAACCAAATATAAAAAAATAGATAAGACCTGCTGTGTATAGTTTCACTAAAGCATCTGCTTAACAAGGAACTCAATTGCATATCACATAAAATATCTTTTGAAATCTAAAGATAATTTTAAATTTTACTACATAAATTCAACTCGATCTCATGCTTGAAATAAAAACTTTTAAGTGTGCAATAAAAACATGAGCTTTTATGTCACATCATTAATTTGCGCTTCCACCGAGCTTTATGTTACCTATTTACTACCTACATTGATAAGTATTCTGAATGAGGTGGTACTATAACGTGAGACAGTAATGTTTGTAAACAGATATGTAACAAGAAGGCTACAGCGCGCCGATTTATGAATGAAGAATGCTTAAAGAGCATTCCTCGACGTAGTGGTGCGATGGCGTATACCCATCCATAGATAGGGTTGTCTGTTTCAGCAAAAAAGCAACCATATGTGGTTAAATCAATCGCAATCATCAATCAAATAAAAAAAAAAAACTCCAAAAAAATATACTACAGTAAAAAAGTCTATTGTGTTCTCTATATTCCAAATTTTAATTGGATCACGTATCCAATATAATTTCTTCCTACGGCGAACGGAAAATCAGTGACGCGAGTTGTTCTTCTTCTATTCTTTTATAGTACACTCATCCTTTAATCATACTGACTACCACATAATAACAAATTGATCATTTGATAAAAAAACAACACATCTGCATCTTCTGAAAGTGTGTTAACAACACGTGTTTTTCTTATGGTGGCCCGCAGGGTTCGCATTCGGGGAAGCCCGGTGTGCCACCCCTATTACGGAGTAAACAATTGCTACTGTTTCTTCGAACGCCGCCCATCACCCGGTGTCTGTTTACATTTAATGCAGGATAAAGGAACGTGTAACGTGTTGTTATTGTCAAACGAGTCATAAAAATAATGTATCTCCTTAGCTAATGTTTGCAAACAAACCCTGCCACAAGATTCACGTGTAGCCACTATAGATAAGGAATTCGATGACTTCCTCTTCCTAATACTTATTTTTTTCCCCTTAGCTGTAAAGCCGATTAAACCGGTTATCCTATCGGATATAATCAAATAGAATTAATGAGATGAAAGGAAAATATTATAATTCTCCGCTTTCAATGACCTCTTTGACCAACTGATACTTCACGTTTAATTCTTTTCGATGTCCATATATTATGTAATTTGATTTGACCTTAAAATATGAAGATTACCGAAATTCAGATGTGTCTTATATAGCACAGAGCCTTATATATTTAACTCCTTCCATTTTAATTAAATCTCTGATTTACTCGTCAAACTGACTGATTTTACTTATCGTATGATGATGTTAGTACATAAGTATTTTTTTATCACGTTCGGTTAGAATTAGAATCTATATTGCCTACATAATTAAAAGTATGTAGTTGAGTCCTGTATGTCACAAAAATAAGTTGGCTAATAATGACACAGCACTGGAAGTACAAAAAATATGGCCTTGTTAATCTCAAAAGGACTTGAGGAGCTCAATAGCGCAAGTGGTTAGCGCGTTCCGCTGCGGTCGTTGAAGTTAAGCAACTTTCGCAGTGGTCGGTCATTGGATGGGTGACCAAAAATTTACTATCTCGAGCTCCTTCGTGCTTCGGAAGGCACGTTAAGCCGTTGGTCCCGGCTGCATCTGCAGTCGTTAGCACCCACCAATCCGCACTGGGCCCGCGTGGTGGGTCATGGCCCAATCTCCCTATTCCATCCATAGGGAAGGCCTGTGCCCCAGCAGTGGGGACATTAATAGGCTGATGATGATGATGATGATGAATCTCAAAAGAGTTTTGCCTACCTATTAAAAAAGTACATAATATTTAAAATGAATGGATACAACAAACATGAATTGATGGGTTGTTCGACAGGATATGGAAGGTTCCACTACCTGCTGCTGGCAGTATGCGGCCTCGTCAGCACCTCGGAGGAGATGGACGTCATCTCGATGTCCTTCATCCTGCCTTCGGCGCAGTGCGACCTAGATCTCTCCACTCAGACTAAAGTAAGTGTTTTGTCGACGGAAGGATGAAAAATGCAAACATGTTGCATGTATGCTGCATTCTGCCAGCGACCCAAACTATGACATTACCTTGTCCGTCTTGTTAACCAGGAAACATGGTTTCTCCGAGTACTATCATCATGTAGCTATCAAATAAAATGCTGTTGTTCCATTGTACATATATAAATAATACAAAAAAAGTTTTTTTTCCATAACCACGACCACATCACTAATCATAGACTTTTTTGTGCGGTAGAAACTAGAGTTACTTTTTTGTAAGCGGCCCAGTAAGGTTAAATTCATATTTTTATTGAGTACCTCAATTTGTCTATAGCCAGGACACATAAATAATTCTTGTAAAAATAATCATGCTCAGTGCGGCAAAGACATACTCCGTAAAAGTACTAATTAAAACAAATACACAGTTCTTCTTCCAGTCAATAACGAGCAACCTTCATCGGTTGATAAATCAAAAGGTTTTATAACGGCAAAGAAAGTAAGTAGCAAAGGCATGTGTTTTATTTACAAAGTTAAGACAATAATTTAATATTTTATTCTACTTAATATGTAACGAGAGACCGCTAAAGGCGTGTCAAGGGTACAAATATGCAAATAGGCACATACTCGTAAACTCGTTGTAGATATTTTTCAAGTTGATTTTTAATTAACTTCCGCAAACTGTGAACTACATACTTCGTTCACTGGCCGCTCATACTACTTAATAAAAACTTAATACGTGCTTAATACCAATATTTAAAGTACACACCCCGGTAAATATAAACTTTAGATAACCTGTGATAAATGTGATAAACCTTCATATTTAGTAACTTTGACTGACTTTCTTCAAAAGAAATATTTAGGTATCAATAAAGAAAAGAAAAGCTTTGCATTTTTTTTAATATTGACATATTAATAAAACATCTTGCAATATCAATAAGATGAACATGGAAATAAAGTATTTTTAATCACCTAATTCATATGAACATATGTCTCAGAAAAAGCCACTGAAAAGAAAGGCCCTATGCAACCATTATTTAGCAGCGTCTGTTATTTCTTATTAGGTACTGAATTAACTTGTTTTTATTTTGTAACAATAAGGCTAGACATGGTACCTATAGTAAAGGATCATTAACATCATCATCAGCCTATTAATGTCCCTACTGCTGGGGCACAACATAGCATTATAGTTGGAATAAGGAGATTGGGTCGTGACCCACCACCACGCGGGCCCAGTGCGGATTGGTGGGTGCTGACGACTGAAGATGCAGCCAGGCCCAACGGCTTAGCGTGCCTTCCGAAGTACGAAGAGCTCAAAATAATAAGTTTTTGGTTACCCATCCAATGACCGACCATTGCGAATGTTGCTTAACCCTAATAATTTTTCCCTGACCACTTTGTTTGGTGTCCACCCAGGGGACCCTGGGTGGGGCATAAAATTTAGATTTTTTTAAGTGACTCTAAACACGGGTTACAAATTTATTTGGGATAGAACGGATTATATTCTTGAGAATTGTGTCGACCATACTTATGTAAACAAAGATCAAATATTTGCTTGAGCGTAGATTTTGACGTACCTAAATGTCCTTCTGAAATAAGTAATTACTCAGCTGAGTTTGATCAATGTTTATTGTTTACCGTTCTAAAATTTTAAATCTACTTTTGACACTACTTTTAAAACTAGAGTTGAAAAATGTTCTATAATACGGGCCTGAGCCTCAACTTTGGAATTCATATAATAGAGATGGATAAGACAGAAGGATTCTATAGTCCAGATAAAAATTCTTCAAAATCTACCCGTAGATCAATTTGTCTGGTTGTACGTTTTTGACCCAACAGGAACCCAATATTATTCTGGGTTAAAACATATCCTATTGTGACGAAGTTTAAATTACGTCTTCTATGTGTTGCAACTGCAAACTGATTACCTACGCACTCGGTTATATATGATACATTGAAGATGAAGATTATACATATTCTAATACTGAAAAAGGGCATGAAAGCGACTACGTTATTAAGAAAGGAAATCATGAAGCTGCATTCAATGACAAATAAATAGAAGTGTCGCCAGTTTTAGTGTAAAGCAAGAACTGTAAGTAAAATATTTCCGACATTTTTTTGTTTTGTTGTTTTTCATTTTATTGATAAATTATTGTGTGAATTAACTATTGATCAGTCGTAAATTTTACCACCGTTAAATGAGACATGTGAAATAAGATGTTTTGCTGAAGGTTTTAATAGTAGTCGAATATGTTTAATTTGAAAGTGTAGACAGCCCAAGTTCTTAAAAAAAGGCAATTCAAATAGCACTCGAGGAATATATCACATTATCGTATAGAGAGGAAAATATTATTCAGAAATGTAATTACTATAGTCAGGGTTAAGTTACAGACCGAGAGCTAGGAATTATTATTTCAAAAGTTAATGTGCGTAGCAAGTAATGTAAAAAATAATGATAATGTTTACAAGACGTTGGAATCCCGCATTCCGCGCTACGGTCAAGTTCATACGCGCAAAGCGCTAGATCAGCAAAATTGTGCTCAAATCGATAAGGTAAGCTCTTTTAAGTAATAATTATGTAATAAATTCTATTTATAGTTTTAATGACGAGTGTTTTGATTTAAAGTTAGATGATCTTTTTAGAAAAACGGGAATTGAATAAAAATAATTTGCTAAATAAAAGCACTAGTAACTTAATTATGTTTAACAAATGTAAGAATACGGATAATCCGGCTGCATCTGCAGTCGTTAGCACCCGCTAATCCGCACTGGGCCCGCGTGGTGGGTCATGGCCCAATCTCTCTATTCCATTCATAGGATTCTCATTCATATATAATGCTCTCTCACAAGTATCGCACTGGTTTAATGTAAATAACTTAAAATTAAATGCAATTAAAACCAAATGCATTAAATTCACTTTACCTAATGTTAGAAGCGAAACCATTACAATTAAATTAAACAATGAAAACCTAGATTTAGTTGAATCAACGATATTCTTAGGTATAACCATAGACTCGAAATTGCAATGGTATCTTCATATTTCTCTGCTAGCTGATAAACTTAGTTCAGCAGCCTATGCCATACGTAAAATAAGACAACTTACTGATGTAGCTACTGCTAGAACTGTATACTTTAGTTACTTTCATAGTATTGTACCCTATGGTATTATTCTCTGGGGATCAGCAGCCGATATTGAAACTATATTTATATTGCAAAAAAGAGCCATAAGGGCTATTTATCAACTTAGTTCTAGAACATCTCTTAGAGAAAAATTTAAAGAAATCGGGATTTTGACTGTTGCTTCACAATTCATTTATAATTGTATACTTTTTGTTCGAAGCAATATTAACTATTATCTCAAACACAGTGACGTACATTCTTTTAATACAAGGAATAAAAATAAACTCAAGATACCAAATTACAGGTAACAGAAGGTTCATTAATCATTCATGGGTCAAGGTATACATTTCTATAATAAGATTCCTATTGATATCCTTGGTTTGCCTCCTGATAAATTTAAAATACACATTAAGAATTGCTTACTTAAGAAAGGATATTATACTGTCAATCAATATTTGAATGATTAAACGGCTTGGTTGTAATTTTACCTGTAGATAATTTTTCAAAAGTTATATCAAAAGTAAGGCTCCCAGTCTTAGAAAGAGTTTTGAAGAGAACCTTGTTCATTTTGTTTTGAAAATTGTTTCTTGCTATTTTAAGACTTTTCTTTGCACTTATTGTTAGTAAATTCGTTGATTGTCTATTGTTACATCAGGGAGAAAAAATCAGCCCTTGCTGAGTTTCTTGCCGGTTCTTCTCAGTACAAGGTCTCCCGCCGTAGATTTGCGAACCGATGGCGTAGCTTTTCGACATTCACAAGTGCTTGTAACAGCCTAGACTGAATAAACGATATTGAATTTTGAATTTTAGGGAAGGCCTGTCCCCAGCAGTGGGGACATTAAAAGGCTGATGATGACGATGAAATGTAAGGAAAAGCGAAAAACTTCAAATAAAATGCGAAAAGAAACTATGTTCGCAATTGACAATCTCTAATGATAACTCTAAGAAAAAGTTCCCTGCAATAAAATCAGATAATGTATAAGCTAGGTCTTATGTAAATGTAATTGTTAAGGATTATTTTTATGACAAAATAGACGATAATAATTGTGTGTATTCTAAATATAATTTATGTGTTTATACACCTTTAAAATGCGAAATGTATATAAAGATAATAAAAGGCTAGCGAAAGATATTGAGTAACTTTGTAATGATTTACAAATAAAAGGTTTAATATAATTGAAGAACAATGTTTAAAAGTTTATAGTAAATAACGTAAAGGAGAATATTAAATTTCTCCTTTGCGTTATAAACTTTTAACCCATGTTATTTATAAAAAAAATATGGGTGCGTGTACTTAAAGTACGCGCGTGAGAAGTTATACTTCTTTTTGGAATTATTAAAAAATAGTTTTTAATTGCATGCAGATAATTAATTACAATAAGATAATAAAAGGATTGGAAAAGGATAGTCAACGCAGTCAATAAAGTTCAGTTTTAATTTGAAAAATTTAATAAATAATCAAAATATTCAATTTAAATCACTACTGCATAAAATTTATTAGCACATATAAATTTCGCATTTGTATAACATTATAACACGTGTTAAGAATATAGAAACTAGAAACATGTGGATAAATATTATAAATATGAAAACAGTGATCAGAGGCGACGAGCGTCCCAACATGTGCGACTAAGAGATCCTATTACTATTTTGTTGGAAGCTTTTTTTCGAGACTTACGAGTAATGTGCGGTTTAGCGGCCGACTTCATGTTACTTTTGTGTTACAGTGTTGCGCGCGCATCTTAAAATTTCACTCTCATCATTTTTTCATAACGCGCCCGCGGCTAACTTCATTATGTTACTTTTGTGTTACAGTGATGCGCGCGCATCTTAAAATTTCACTCTCATAATTTTTTCATAACGCGGCTAAAGAAGTATAACTTCAAAATATGCGAATAAAAGAAAAATTGCCTTAAAAGAGATTGTTAATAAACGAACGAATACGATAAAGCCCGAAAGCTCAAACAATAACAATATATTATCTAATATTTATTATACAAATAAGCGTAAAAAGAAAGATTTTATTAGCAAAATAAATAATTGTTTTCAAGACATGCTATTTAGGAAGATATACAACCAACGTGATGTTGAAAAAGATTAATAAAAAGTAAAATTGCAATATGTAATATTTTTTGCAATTTATTAGAAATCAACGTAAATAATAATTGTTAAGTAATTATAGTAAGGGTTTACTTTTAATGATAATTTGTTTATATAAAGTAACCTAATAATATAAATAATTTTAGTTCTATATGGATTAGTGAATCTCATTTTAACATTTTGTTAAGTATTATATGTTATTAATCGAGTTATAAACGTTGTAACTTAGATGAAAAGTGTTTAGGGTCTTCCTTTTCAGGGGAGAGACGCCTAACGTTTCAGGGAAGGTGAAGTGTAAATCACGTCTTCTACGTGTTGATAACACTTCCCCGATACGATTAGGTATCTTATTATTGTTTATTTATTATTATTATTTAATCACCCATACCCCATCACCACACTATAACTCAACCCAAGTGACAAACTATTAAATTCGACTGGTATATTATAAATTAATAAAATTGAAATTTAATAATACGTACTTAAAATTTTACGACGGTAACTTTGGCGTACATTTTTTTCTTGCTCCATTGTTTAACATAGCGGTAAATATATATTTATATATTAGTCATTAACACGTGAGATAAGAATCTTTTCCTGATTTTTTTCAATCACGTCACAATTGACTTTGTGGCAGTGCAAATGAATTTAAAACTAATCAAATGTGTAAACTTTAGTAAAGAATCTTCGTAAGAAACTCGCAAACAAGAAAAAGTATATGATGTCATAGATACTTAAACAATTAAATTAGGTGACTACTTCATTCAATTAGGGTGGCGACATTATATATGTGGTTTCTGATTAGTTTTCTGGTCAGAAATTCTGATTCGGCGACTTGCAGACGTAAATTAATTCAAGTCTTTGCATACAAAATGTTCAATGAGGCGCATAACATTCTTGTTTTTACAGAATGGAAAAAAAATCAATAAAAAGGCTTATACGCCACCCTTTTTAGTAATTAACTGTGAAACACAGTAGTTATATATTTTGATGTCAAGTGTTTATAAATCATGCTAAAAGGACATGGTACCTGGCTACTGGGGCAAGAACTGATAGCCATACATACACAAAGTATGTGGTTAGCAGTTGTTTCCAAGTGTCAGTTCTTGCCAACAAATATAAAAACATTTATACGTCAATGCTTCCTATGTATATATTGGCGAAAACACAGATTAGGTAGTAAGTAAGTAGAGTGTAATAAACATGATAATTGTCCGCAGGGATGGCTGAACAGCATAATCTTCATCGGCATGATGGTGGGCGCGTACGCGTGGGGTTCGGTGGCGGACTCCCTGGGCCGCAAGCGGGTGCTCATTGCCATCTCCGTAATCAACGCGCTCGCCATCGTTGCTTCCTCCTTCAGCCAGAACTACGAGCTGTTCATGCTGTTTCGCTTCATTAACGGTGCCGCGTGAGTATAAGAAATATAAGGCTTCTTTTGTTTCTTTTAATGTGTAGCCGTATTTGTCAGCCCCTTCCTTTCTTTCATTGTAAGTATAATAAAATTAACGAACTGATATGGCGAGTTGACGATGTTTCGAACCGGGCTTGTGACGATAAAATTCTTATAGTAAATAATAAATAAATATAAATATTTCCAACACGCACACCACTTAGCCTAGCCCCTAATTAAGCACTGTAAGGCTTGTGTTATGGGATACTAGGGTAACGGTTAGAATCATACATTGTACACATAGATGAATGATTGGTCTCGCTTCACTCCACGAGATACCGCGCTATCAAAAAACAACAGCTCCGTTTAAGCGGCAACTCATTATTGTAGTGTGTGTATGTTACTTTGCAAGGACGGTGTCGTATGTCAAAAAAAGTGTAGCCAGCTACTCAACTGCTACCCCAGTAATAGGGAAAATATTTTATGCTGTTGACGATCCACACTAACAATACTACTTACAAAATCCGTATATGAATATATGTTTATATACCATTTTTGGTATTTTTATTTTTTTTGCAAATATACGTGATGCACGGAGGCGCGAATCCTATAATTTTATCGCGCTTGCATTATAGTTAGTTTCTTTATTTTTATCCCACCTGTCAATAGTTTGGTTAGAAATTCTTATAAGTGCCTCCGTGGTCTGAGTGGTATATACGCCAGTTTTGATGGTGTCGGCCTTCATAGGTCATAGGTCCCGGGAGCTAGGCTAATAGATGTGAGACTTTCGATATATCTTCACATTTAGTATCTTTATAACTCTTTAAAGACACTGATGTCGATTCTGGCTTGATTCTCTAAACCTAAACTTGACATCAGTGTATCCTTGTCATTCTCTATACAGAGTGAAAAGGAGAGACTGATGTTAAATTTAGTTTTAAGTTTAGAGAATCATGCCAGAATCGACACCAGTGTTAAGTAAATTTATTATTAACCATGCAGACACTAGAAATTCAAATAAAACTATAATAACAATATATATAGTTAAAACTATTAAAATGAGCAGGTTAACGCAAGAATAAAGTTTATTATCAATAATTAAAAATTACATGCCACTAACTTGCACAAGTTTACGATAAATTTGCCTTTTAAAATTTCCTGATTTTTGCAAATTTTCTTTCTTCGAAATGTAATGGAGTCGTATTTGTATAAACTTCTCCACTACTAGTCGAATTAAATTAATTTGATGTATGGCACCATTAAAATGACTTGAGTCGAAATCAAAATATCTTTTAGAACCCGTCCCGATGAATTTTTTCATGACATCAATTACAATATTTTTATATATTAAATTTGATTTTATGTGCGACACTTTATCTATATTTTGTATTATGGATTCTGAAACCAAGCATATTAAAAATACATCTTCAGAGGCATATGATAATCCACCTCTATCTTTTAACGTCACAAATTTATGAAAAAATGATTTTTAGCAGTTAAATTATCAATACAATGAAAGCATTTAATTTTTTTTTGTTAAAAACTTGACAACAAAACCGGCTACGTATCCAACAACGTGGTTTTTAAAAATCGACATGTATGGCACATTCAAGAATTCTGTGATCTCGTCAAAATCATCCTCAACTTTTTCTAGTGCATTCAACAATACTGAATCTTCTTCTTCGGAACGTTCCCACATGAAAATGAAATTTATTGGAATTTTCTAGAAAAACTAAATAATTTGCAAGATAAAGAAGACCTCCGTTTAGCAAATAAAATAACGAAACGTCATTTAGAATTTCGCAATAATATAATGAAGGTATAGTTTGCTTCAAATTATTAAGTTTCCTTTATTATTATCCGCACCATAAGCTATCCCTGAGGCCCAAGCACAAGTTTTTGACAGCTGCTTAACGCTAACGTATCGCTCGTCAAAGTTTCTATGAAAAAAACTAAGCAGCGCCACTGACACCACTTATGTATAAACTAGCTTTTTCCATACAAAATTTGACCATTACGATACTTTACGAAGCTGTCAAAAACTCATACTTGGGCCTCTGTGCTCAATTTGTTTCAATTAATTTCAACAATTTTTCCAAAAATTGTGATGTTTTCTTCACCGACTTATTTTCAAATATTTTCGATTCACTGACACGAATAGTTTGTATTTCATAAAGAGGTCAAATGAAATGGGTCATAACAGTATATTCATAATATAAAAATCTCAACCATAGGGACTTTTATATTGCGTACTTGGCAACACTAAATGACGTTTATTTTTCATGAAATTTTACATCGAAATTTCGAAATTATAAGATACTTACTGACGGTATGTGACCCGTGTCCTTTTTATTTTTTGAACTATTATTCTTACAATGTTTCACAACACAAACTGGCATTTTGCTGCGGATTGTGCTTTAAATTGATTAAAATATTCGGGACTAACACCTAAAGCGCAGCTGTCAATGTGACTGACACGGTGAAGGCTCGGGTATGCCGATTTCGGCATAGTATTAGTTGCCGTATTAGACAAGTACGCCGGCGGTATCTAGTCGAGTGAAGCGAGACCAATTATTTATCTATGCATTGTACATATATAAGTATACTTATATAGAAATACATTAAACATCCATGACAGGAGTACAAAATGCTCGTATTCATCACACAAACATCTGCCCCCACCGGGATTCGAACCCGGGACCTCTCGAGTTGGCGTCACCATGAAACCCGGCGTACGTACTCGACCACGGAGGTCGTCAAAGTAGACCCGACCCGTACTTATTTTCTAGGCAAAAGTACTTATTATGAGTATTATTTTTTCTAATCAAACCACTTCAACTGACATTTTGCCGCCAAATTTGAGTTGTTGCTCTTCTTCTTCTTTTTCTTTTTTATGGCATGCACGGTTGTTGCTCGGGTGAATAATTTAAATGTTTTTTTCTTTAAGTCTGGATTCAGATTGCTGTTATGAATAAATAAAATAGTTACATAAATTCTATCCCATAAATGTCACGACATGAAGAAATGTATTTATTTTTCAGACTTGGTGGTTCAGGTCCAGTCATCTGGTCTTATTTCGCCGAATTCCAGCCTAAAAAGAAGCGAGGTGCTATGTTGAGCTTCATGGCTGCTTTCTGGACACTCGGGAATTTGTTCGTCGCTGGTTTGGCTTGGGTCATCATTCCTAGCGGTAAGAATTACTTTGAAAATTACTTAGAAAAAAACCTTTTTTTTAAACATTTAATATTATTTCATTATTTTGTTAAGCATACAACTAGCTAGATGTTTAAATCTTATCTTCCGCTATCCGCCCGGCTAGTGAAAGATTCGTTCTAGTTCGAATCTCGTCTTAAACCCAGACCGAAAGTTTCTTTCGAAAAAACAAAAAGAAAACGTTTTAGTTAGGCATTTACACACTTTAAATAAATTACTTACCTACTTAAATGGCTTGAGTAACATCTTAAAGCAGATAATGATTTAAGAAAACCACATTCTAATAAGCAAATTTATTGATCAAATTAAACCTTTTACAGAAATCGGAGGTACCACTGGAACTTTCGTTTACAACTCGTGGCGTATCTTCTTGCTCGTGATGTCACTGCCTTCCTTCATTGTGGCAGCTCTGCTGTTCCTACTTCCCGAATCACCCAAGTTCCTTATCACCAGCGGCCGCCACGAAGAGGCCATGGAAGTATTCCGTAGCATCTACCTCATGAACACTGGACGTAGCAAGGACGAGTACCCAGTCAAGCAAATCCTAGTCGACGATATCGTGCACACACACAAGTCCGCGAAGCAAATCGAAGCAAAGAAAGAGCCTGCAGAACCGAAGTCCAAGATAAGACGAATGTTTAGCGACATCGTCGAACACAGCAAACAGCTGTTTGTGCCACCTATACTCAAGTTCACTATGATATCTATCACGATCAACTTTACGTTCCATATCGGGTTCGTATAAAATTGATTATATTCTTATTATAACGGCTTCATATTATATCTAAACATATTTATAACTACAAAAAATCTATTACGCCGAGATGTTTCACTGTACTCTTAGTTACTAACAATCTGAAAAATCTATCGCAATCTGGGTGAATGCACTAACCGCTGCCATTGATTGAATTATTTCCTTTTTTTGTAAAATTGTATCAATAATGTGTCTTATTCTCATTATTCGCAGGTACTACGGCCTCATGATGTGGTTCCCAGAGATGTTCAACAGGTTCGACGAGTGGTCGCGCACGCACGACAACGCCGAGGCGGACATCTGCCAGGTGACGCGCTACGTGACGCAGCAGGGCACGCACTCCGCCAGCGCGCAGTGCGACTCGCACATACACTCCGACGTATTCATGGAGTCGCTCATCACCGTCGCCGCGGCCATACCTTCCAACATATTCGCCGTGCTCGGCATGGACAGACTGGGAAGGAAATTCTTCTTGGGTGAGTTCAGATATAACAATAACAACCCTAGCTAGTCCTCGATCTCGATCAGGGTTTATACCTTTGCTGCAGCAAGACCTTCCCGTCAACATATTCGCCGTGCTAGATCATGGAGGAAGTTCTTATTGGGTCAGTTTAAATTAGTTTAGCAAGGTCCTAACCTTTGATCAGAATCTGTATTAGAGCGGTCGTCATGAGGAGTAGCTTAGTCGAACTTACAGAAAACCATAGTATTTAAATATTTTCTGTGGTAAGGTTTTCAGCACTCCACGATCTAAGGAATTGGTTTCAAACCGGCAATGCCAGGTTGACTAAAACGACAGTATTCAGACGCAATAGCTAGTCATAGCGATAATTGAGCCGAGGTTTCCTTAGCCAGCTGTAAGATAAATTGGAAACGAACTAGTTTCCGCTCGATCGCTTCTTTTCTTTACACATTTCTGGTCGTTGGTCGTCTAGGGACTAGTCAATTTCATGCAGGTCAGGATCAAAATGCTCAGGCCTATGTCGTTAGCAAAAATAAACTGAAATGCTGATTGTAATTTTCTTTCGTCCAGTGTTCGCTACATTCTCGGCGGGTCTGTGTTCCGCGGCCATGTACTTCGTGTACAACAAGACCAACAACCTCATCGTGAGCGCCATCTTTAGCTCCGTCATCTCGTGCGGCAACGCCTCCCTTGACTGCCTCATCACTGAAGTCTTCCCTACCAACTTGCGGTAAGATATGTTTTATTTGTCTAGAGGTTTTGCACGCGAGATCAATTACTGACTTTAAAAATTCTAGTCAAGTCAGTGCTGTCAGTATAAATTGGTTTGGAGATTGTACAGCGCCGACTTCACGCATCCAACCAACAGTGCGAGCCGGTAATAACTTTGGATCCAGTAACTGACGACGTGTATATCTGAAATTATGTTAACTTGTGACGCTAGTAATCCATACGGCTATTCGTATTTGCTATCTGTACCTACACTTAACAGCAGTATATCCTTATCATACTTTGTATGTATTGGTAAGGATATAACTACTGCTGCCAAATTAACAAAGCAAACACGGATAGCTTTGTGTAGTGCTAACAAAAACTTTCTTTCCGAGCACTAAATGATATCTAAAGCTTAATATACACGAGCGGCACGCAGTTTACGGCAGAGTCAAAGGCAGCTATCGTTGGCTGCTGCGAGCCGTGTACCTATATGGAACCTAATACTTACACAGAAAGGAATAGTGCCTAAACTATGATTTTCAATTCGCATCACAACACAATCTCTTGTAAAGTATCTTTCTTTTCTGACGCTTGCTACATCCGAAAATCCAGAAAGAATTGCCCCTATTAATTACATTAATAATATTTGCAGCGCTACGGGCGTGGCCGTGTCCATGGTGGCCGCTCGGCTGGGCGGCATCATCGGCAACGTAGTGATCGCCGCACTGCTGGACACGTACTGCCCCGCGCCCACATTCATCGTGGCCGTGCTGCTCGCCAGCGGCGGCCTCATGTGCCTCTTCCTGCCCAACACCACGCGCCAGGCGCTCCAGTAGCGCTGCACATATCCTGACACAGGAATGCAGCTTAACAAACTTGCAGCCTGCGCGCCTTTTAGCGATCGGTGGCGACGGAACTTTGTTAGACACTTACAAGTTTTTAAACATTGTTTAAAGTTAGACCTTGTTTAAAAATAATGCCGTCTCTATCTGCTTTTATAAACAAAAATGAGACAACCTTAGTTTTAAACAGTCTTTAATTTTAAACAGTGTTTAAGAAATTTTGTAGTAACACCGTCAGTGATTCCCTTTGTTCCCATCTATACTGTTTATGGTGCGCCTGGTGCTTTATGTAACTTATTAAGTTCAATGCCTTATTATAACTAATAGTAAGGTATTCGATTCTCTTTTCGCAGGTACTGAATACTTAAGAGCATTTACCGCTCTAAGACTGAATATTATCAATATAAACAAGTAAGGTTTAATACTGGTAAATATTATATGGAATGGAATCAAACTATTTTTGTCGATTTATTAGCAATTATGATGGGAACAAAGGAGCGATTCCATCTTATGGAGAAAATTAATTCCGCCACCGACCGATCGCAATTGTTACCATCGAACGTTATCACCGATGTATGTGACTGCTTTTTCAATGTACGATGTTTTCTAAGAATGAGCTATAATTTACCATAAGTAGGACTGTTGTGGGTTGTTAAGTACCTACGTTTCATTGAACATCGAGTACGAGAAACGTAGTTTCACGCATCTTTTGTTAGAAGTATTATAGATTAAGCGTCGATCATTATTTTGTTGTATATTGCAACTATTTTCATATTACGAATTTATAAATTAGAATTGTTACCGTAGTTTGTAGTGTAGCTTGTAGTGAATAGATAAAACTGTGAGTTGTGATAAGATCAAGGAATACTGATCACCATAAAGAGATCTAGCCTATTAAGAGAACTACCTTAACGAATGTAATAAATTATTAGATTTGTCAAACCAATCAGAAAGTCATTGTATATATTGCGATTTTATGAATAATTTCAATTTGATAATTCAGATTGCATATCCATAAGTACAAAATATGTTGCACCATTTGAAAGTAAATCCTTAATAAATTGCTGTTGCGTTTTATTTTTGAAATCATCTCCTTATTTATACTGATATTTTTTATTGATTGAAACATGACGTAGCGGCCAGGTAGGTTCAATAAAATCAACCGTTGCGTTTCTGTAAAATGTTTATATTGCGATTATTATACCGTAAAAGGGGGTTATTTGGATATCATGAGATTATTTGGAATTTGCGAAAAAAAAGATATGGCAATATTTCCTTATTATTAGGAAATATATTTTACCACCTGGCAATAAAACGACATTTTGTCTATATCAAATTGGAATTTTGGAGGTTATTGCCGATAAACGATAAGCAGTGCGTCATTAAAAAAAATCCTAAAAATTTGGTGTTTTTCTTGGTTCCAGAGCTTTTGTCTAGTACACTACATCTAGAATGATACGTATAGACAGAAATAGATTGCGAAATAGTGTTTTTATTCGCATTTTAGTGATTCAATTAGCTTTTTTCTATCTCTTACGGCCTGCCATGCTTTTCGGTATTCTCTATGCGGCTTTTTTTCTGTTTTGGGGTTAATTGAAACTTTGTTTTAAATAGCCCCTTGAAAATCTTTCAAACATTGCTAAGTATTCTTTACATCGTTACAAATAACCCCAATTGCTCTATTTATCTATATTAAGGGTAAGTTGTTTCGCGGCACTATATTTTTAACAAATGTTTTATTTTTTATAAATAATACAGTACAGACATGAAAGCATGGTCTAAATATACCAAAGAAAGTTCACAAATTCACGCAATGTAAAGAATCGTTCACCTTACCTGAGTTATCTAATGAAGATTTACATAAAGCCATAGAAGTTATTCAAAATGACTATATGACACTATAATTAAAAAAAGCAGCTAATAAAACTGATAAGAAAATACAATATAACAAAAAGTACGTAAATGCCGTAATATAAACTGCACAACTGGCCATCCAACTCTTTTTTCAAAAGATGAAGAGATGGCGTTCTTAGAAAACATAAAGTTAATGAGTGCTTGAGGATTACCCCTGGTTTTATTTGTGCCTGCCCATATAATATTCTCTAATGTCTTTTGGTAAACACACCGATAATATAGATACTTTTTTCAATCAAGAGGGATAAAATAAAAAAAGCTTCATAAATATTTAAAATATTGCTTTATTCTTGTTAATAACACATTGGAAATTTAACGTTACATCCCAAATAACCCCAAAGTAGCGATAGATTTATCATTACGTCTAAATTATTAATGGTAATTTTCACCTTTTTAGTGACGGAATGAAGTGAAATTGAGATAAACTGAAGACAGCTCCTTTTCCAAAAATATTGCTGAGTTCTTTTCGACACAGTTTCAAAAAATAAGAAAACCCAAAGCAATGAAGTCTGATACCAATTAACCTCATTAATGCGATATTTGGAACGGCACCTTTAAAAAAATATACATCTATAGATCTATTCACATGTAGCACGGTAATATTATATAGGTAATATTAGGCGTTGAGCAGACGAAAGGGCGGGGCGGGCATTTTGTCCGCGAAACAATAAAGACCGCGTCTGACCGTCAATGTCTGCAGCTGCCCGTGCCGCGTACACAAAGCACACGACGGGCAGAGGCGGTCAGTTTAAGACGTTCGTTCTAGTGAATAGTCCATGACCGCCCCGCGCCGCCGTCTGCGTTACTGCATATAAACTGGTTTGTATGATCCACGGCGGGCAGCCGCGGACATGCCGCGCCGCCAGTGCCCGCCGGGCACCCAAGGCGCGGTCTTTTTTACCGCTGTGTGCGTTTGAAGTATAGGATTCACTTTGTCCTATTATTCGCGGCGAAATTGACCGGCCCGCCCCGCCCCGTCGTCTGCAAAGCGCCTTATCGTGCATGTAGTGTTCAGTTTAAGTAGTCTTTTAAAGAAAATTGTGAGATCTACCCAAAAATATCGATCTATATTGATAAACTAACTTCCATTTTTGTAAAACATCTTTAAAAAAAAATGCTCTAATTAGGCCCTCTTTACGGCAACAGTTGTTTTTTATAATTTAAATGATAAAAATAATTAGGAAACGAAATCTCTAATAGGCCTATCTCTAAATAGAGTTTGATTATTAATACTTGCCGTAAGTAATGTTAAACTTCTACTTTACATTAGTATTACTACTCATTGGTTAAACGCTTGTTTCCATCTACCATGAAATTTACAAGGGCCGTCACATCGGAATGGCAGCGGCCGGCAGCTACGCGGCGAGAACCGACGACTAATATCACTTGAAAAGGACCCGTGCAGTTGCGAGCGGGCGGCATCGCGCGTGGCCGCTAATTAGAGCTTTTTAAGCGATACTAGTCTTTTATATTATGTAAATAAGTTAAAAATATTTCACATACAAAGTGCTCGCTGCATCGCTGCCACTCCGGTGTAAATTGGCCGTAAGAATATAAGTGGTGAACATGAAGTTGCAATGCTATTTGATATTCGCGCACCAACATCTGCATTACTATGATGCAGTCAGCCCAAATCAACGGAACCAAGCTGCAAAATTTATGCAAAGCAATATATTATAGCTCAAAGTCATTTGGAGAATATTTGTTTTGGGTTGTGCATATACAGACAGCGTAATAATGTGTACAATCATAGTCCGGCTTTCTAGCACAAGAGAAACATAATGAAAGACAGATTTTGATTAAAGTTTATTTAATAAAACTACATATAGGTTAATTACTAACGACTCCATTTTCATAGTCCGATCTAGATTCCAACATAGATCACTCAAAAAAAAAACCAATATGTGCCTTAGACATATCATTTAATAGTTACTGCAACAATATTGTACTTAACATTAAAACTACATTTTGATATAGTCCTCCCGTTCATTAGAACTGATGTTCCCGCATCACAATGTTTTTACCATTCACTTTCCTTCTAATCGCAGACAAAGATAAATTTCCATGTACAATTTCGTAGAGTACAACATATTATTCCAAACTTTTCAGACGTTATAAAAATATGATATACCTAAATTTTCATATATTACAGTTATGATCCAACAATATCATAATTCAATTAAAATTTACAATTGTAAACCCTTAACCTAACATAACGTTATGCTGCAATGCATTATTATAATCGCACGACAAAATGAGGAGAGATCACACGCTCCTCTTCAGCATATATATAATTAAAATATTATGTACAGTCCTATTTGTATGCGTTTGAAACGCACACATCTTTACTCCTCCTGATAAGCAAAACATTATAGAAATCAAACATTCGCCGAACCACTTTCACTGTGTCTATATTCAGATAGATATGAGAATGACATCAACGGACATGTTAAAACTTATTCTATTGCACAACAACGAAATCAATCTATCATAATAAATAAATGTAGCACAATAATAGAAACATTATTCAACAGAACACAAATCTGTTTGTCTAGCTGTGGCGAGACATGTCGTTCACCGACAACTGAATCGAAGGTTGGAGCGGAATTTCAGAAGAAGTTTCTGAAGTATCCGAGCAAGGAGTTAACAATCGACGCGACCACTGCGTTCCCTCCTCCATCTCAGACTCTCGGACGTCAATCGATGAAGGAGACCCGATCGTGGATTCTACTGAGGACACGGTTCGCTCCGCGACGTCGTCAGTCAATATCGGCATAGATTTGCCCACTGCGTCCTCATCCGTGAGTAAGGGCATGGAAATGGACGCACCCACCGGCATGTCCACGTCTTCAGTGGTGACGTAAGTCATCTCCGTATTAGGCGACGGCAACAACGACGTGCCATAATTCGTTCCGCTGAGCGGATCGGTAGTCTTAGGCGCTATCCTGGGGTCTGTCACAGTGATCGGTAGCTCTAGAGATGTCGGCACTGTGTGCGGCGTGACGCCTATAACAGCGAGACCATCTTCCAAGTTAGAAGGGACCGTTGTCGGCTCACTGTCCACTTTGGATGGTACTTCGACAGGAGTCATTATCGGTTGATTGAGCGTCGTGCTAGTTTCGGACACGCGACAATGTACGGACACGTTAGCGTTCAAATCTCTGAAATCTGGCGCCTCGTCGCGAGGTGGATCCGCATGGAACACGTCACTGTTGGCGAGCGCCGCCTCCAAGATGTCTCGTCGCTCCGGTTGCGGGGCGAGCATTGGCATGGGCTCGACGGCCATAGGGACGAGCTGATTGTTCTCGAGAACGAGTGGGCGGTTGTCGATAGGCGTGAGAGTGCCGTTATCCTCCACGCACAAGTAGAAGGAGCCCGGGGGCCCGCCGAAGTGCTCGCCGGGTACGGCCAACAGTTGCCCGTCCGACAGCGGCGCTACCGCCGGTTCCGGCTGCGCTAACACCGGTGGAACCGGCGCTACCGGCTCAGGTTGTCGTGCGATCGCCGTCGACGGCAACATCTCTTCGATGTTGTCCAAATCAGGATAAGGGGTGGACGTCGTCACAGAAACGGTGTTAGAAATAGACGGCCCTATGGTTGTGACCATGTTTGTGGTGAGGGGAGTGAGGGCCGGCAGAGTGACCATGGGCGGCGGCGGCGGCGCAGGCGCTATGGCTATCTCTTGCTTCACTCGCTTCATTGGTGTCGGCGATTCTGTGGCGGTTCTTCTAATCCTTTTCTGAACGATGCCGGGCATCGGTTCTCCGGGTGTGATCGTAATAGTCTTTTGGAAGACCGGTTTATTCTCTACAGGGACAGGAATCTTTTGAATAAAATGCCCAGTCCTCTGTATTTGCTCGAATTGTGATTGCGTCAACTGCACTACTGTTCCTGATTTTTGTTGCAACAATATCAAAGGTTCCGATGGTGTCTTTTGAATGGTTTGTATGATTTTTTTAGGTTCGGCTGGTATAATCCTTTTAGTGAGAGGCCGTATTTCCGGCATCGGAGCTATGTTTTGCGCAGTAGTCGCCACGCGACCGCCGACAATTAATTGACCTTTCGATGTGATGATTGCGCTCTTTTGTTTTGGTACGATTCTCGTTTGTGATTTCACTTGTGGAACTGAAGAAACGATTTGCTTCTGAGTATTGGCGACATTCGGTGATATTCTATGCGTTATCGTTTTTAATTGTGGTGGGGTTTGCTGATGCTGTTTATTTGGAAACAATATTTTTTCATGCTCTGAAGTCAAAACTATTCTAGATTGTGCTCCTTGCGCATTGGTTATAATCATAACTGTATTTCCGAGACCACTGGCGTCTGAGGAAGAAGGTATCAACTTCGCCGATACAGGTTTATTATCATTTAAATTTACTGGAGCATCAGGACTTTTTGCTACTAGGACGTGAGCTTTGCCGGTTTGTGGATCTATAACTATTTTCTGAGTACGCCCTGGTCGAGGCGCAGTAGCTGTCGGTAATAAGATAAACTTTTCCCCTTTATTTGTATTTTGATTTACAGGTTGAATTATTGTTGGCGAAGGTTTAAGTTCTTTTAATGCAGGTTCATTTTTTGTCATAATAATTTTTTGTTTGCCTGTAGCTTTATCTATTACGAGCATAGGTTTTGTTCCTCGTAATTTTGATGATTTTGAGAGGATATTTGGCGTAGTTGTAACTTTGTTTACTTCATTTACAGGATTCATCAATAATGTTTTTGATTCTGACTTACTGGCCCCAGGATTTATCACCAATTTATCTGACTCCACTACTGTCTGCTTTGTTTTAATAAGTTTGGGTGGAGTGGCCGTGTTAGCTATTAGATTTCCATCAGACATAACTATTGGCATTTTGTCTATGTTTTCTGGAGTTAACAGCTCTTCAGATAAAACTATGGGCATTGAATTTATGTCGAAAACAGAATCGTCTGTCGCCTTAGATTCTTTAGATGATTTTGTGTCTACTAACTGTGATTGTGATATAAGAGAATTCTGAGGCTTCTTTTGAATTTTAGTTGGCATTTTCGGTACTTTGTTAACCTTTTGTTGTATAATAGTAATAGTGTTTGTATCTGAAGGCGTATCTGGAGAAGTTTGTATCGTATAAGTTTGCATCGATGAATTATCTTGTTGCGGTTTGTTACTTCTTGATAAAATAATTTTCTCAGAAGTGCCTATATCATTCAGGTTATTAAGCAGAGTTTTATTTGCAGCTGCACGTCGTATAATAACAGGGGACTGGGATTTCCCTTTAAGCGATTGTTTAGCTACATCAAAATTTAGAATCTTCTCTTTACCTGGAATTATTATTCGTTTTGTAGGCGTTTTCTTAATAATTTTTGGTGCGCATGGTTCTTCTAGTATTTTTAACAGTTTCGATGAAGTCGTCTCGTATTTAACTAGTTTGTTATTAATCAATTCATTACTATTATCACTAGAAAGAGATGCCACATTTTGTTCAACTGTATTGATTTTATCTATACCATTGTTTTGTCTAGTGTTAATAGGCTCTGTACTTGATAACTCTTGAATATTCGTGTTACTCTCAACAATATTTATTTTGTGATCAACTGACTCTGACATTTGTACTAATGATTGGGCAGCATTTAAATTTTCACTTTTCTCTTGTTCTGTTTCAAAGCGAACATTTATATTTTCGTTATCAGTAATTATAGAATGTTCTTCAGAGTGACCTAATTCAGTTGTTTCGATTGCTTCCGAATTTTCGACTTCATATACATTATTATCAAGCACAACACTATCTAATTTATTAGCTTCATTCTCAACAGGATTTTGAACTTGAATGCTCTCAATGCTTTTACTGTGTATTGCGGTTGCCGGTAAATTTATAAGAGCTTCAGCTATCTGCAAATCAGATTCAGATGGTATATTTTCAGCAATAGTTTCTGTTGGACATTCGTTATTAACTAATTCAGTTTCATATGTAACTTCATTTTTATCATCTGGTAATATTGGCTGGTCAACAGTTTCAGTAATCGCAGATTTACTATTACTTCCGAAGCTATTTTCTAGTAAATTTATACCTTCCTGGTGATTATCTGTCAGCGGTAGATCACATGTGCTTTTTTCATTATCATCAATCATAGTCTCATTTAAGCCATTCACATTATTCATTGTAATATTATCCCTATTGTCATCTTCAAACAAATCTTCTGGAGGATCATCACTTACAATTTTAGTTACTCTATCAGGATCACGCGCAACACTCAACAAAGCATCTACAGCTGAAGCAGTAGATTCATTCATATATAGTTGATCGGTTTCGGTTTTATCCGACGTATTTTCTAGTACAGGTTGTGAGTGCTGTTCTTTAGAAGTAAATGTTTTTTCACAAATAGTATTATTGTCATTAGAAATAATGTTGGATACTGATTCAGTGACTACTGTTGTTAAATTTTTATCATTTAGAATTTCATTTGATTTAACGGTTTGCTCTGCTTGTACTTCAGAAGAAGTAGAATAGTTCTTCAATAACAATGATTTGCTTTCTTCATAAGTAACTTCGTTGATTGGCTTTATTTCTTGTGTAGGATATAGGACATCTTTTGGATAGAGTGAATTACTTATTTCACTCATTTTATTTGACTGAACCGGTTCTACATTAAACTTATAAATAGAATTATTTTCATCAGTTTGTGCTGGGCTTTCAGAAGATAAACTGTCTTTTGTTAATGCCTTTTCAATTTTTTCTTTTTCGCGTAGCTGAGCAGCTTCTGCTTTCATTTTTTTAAGTTGTATTTTAGGTGCTAGTCGGGCTACTTTTACATGTTCTATCATCGGTGGCGATTCTCTAGCTTCAGGGGAAGATACGACATCTGAACCATTGATTTCATTTTCTGACATGTCCATTCTTTCAACCGCATTCAATTGTTCTGCTACATATTTTCCGATTGCATCTTGACTTCGTGAATGTCGGCTACGAAAAAATGTTTTCGTTTTAAAAATGGCTTTCGTAGGCTGTGGTTCGAACGCAGATTTATCAGTACCTTTATTGGGTTCGGGTGATTTAGAACTTTGTTTATCTGGAGATTTGACAATCGAAGGCTCAGGAAAATTTTCCTCTACATTCAAAGGCTCTGGAACAGACGGAAGCTCCGGAACCGTAGTTTTGTTAAGAAGCTCGGCGACTTCTCTGGCCACTTCATCGTCGTCTACACTGAGACTCTTTGTTTCATCTTTTCTTTTGGAAGGATTTTTGACGCGAGGTATCTTCCTGCCTACATCGGCTTCTACCGGCCAATCTTCGTCTTCACAAAACTCGTATTTATTAGAGTCACTTGTCGATTCTGATTTTTCGGCAGGTACTTCTTCAGATTTCTTTTCTAAATGAGATGGATCCTCTAGTGGGACTTGAGCATTTGGCAATTCAGCCGGAGTAGGAACAGCTGGTGATTCAGCAGCTATTGGCACTTCAGGCGACGCGGCCATCACTCCGCCATCATTCGATTCCTCTTCATCCACGTCATCCCAATCAGCCAAAAGACTGCTTTTAATTTCCTGATCAGTTTTTAACTTTTTAGTATCGGAAACCTCTTTAGACTCTTCACTGGCGCGTTTTTGTCCTTGTGAAGCCTTTTTATTAGTAACTTTATCGCCTTTCTCTTTACGCGGACGAGGTGCTTTCGGTGTCTTAGATGTACTAGGCGTAGACTTACTTGGTGTTTTAACAATTTTTTTCTTAACAGGTGTAGGTGTGTATGGCGTAAAAGTTACGCTGTGAGTTTTGTTGTGTAAAATTAATACATTAAGGCGTGCAGTAGAAAACGAACAAGCGTGACACGAATAGATACCAGTACTGGATACTGTTGGTGTCGTAACCGATGGTGGTTTCTCAGGTGTTTGTGGTGTAGTCTCTTCTTGTGAACCACTTTCACTAGTATCTTTTACAGATGCAACTTCTGTACCACTATCTGAACTTGTGGTAGCCTCTGCAGTTTTGGTGACAGGTGTAGAGGATTTTTGCACCAAAATATGTACTTTATAATCCGATTTTTCCTAAAAATTCAAAAGATATCAATGAAATAATTACAAAACTCAAAAACAATGAGGAACACAATTATTTTTTGGTGATTATGGCTGCGTCTCATTACATGACAATTCTGCCAATTTCTGGGTTAAAAGAGACAAGGTGTTAGTTGGGACTGTACAGTTATGTAATGAAGAAAACAGTCTGCTGGCCGCAATCTGAGATCTCAACTAAATTCTTATCTAAGTGACATGTATTATTCTTTGGTGATAGTAAACAAAGGAACAGCAACCAATTCATCAAAAATAAAAATCTCTTAATGCAGTTGTAAATCTATGCTCAAAAGACAAAATATTTATCAATGAATATTAATGGTTCATGTCAAGCATCCCTATCTCAATTTGAACAAATTAACTAAATGCATTTGTAAATTATAAATTCTGGCCTTTTATAATAGTAATGCTGGGAATTCACAGATACTAATTCTAAATAAAATATTGGAGAATAATGCTGATCAAACTAAATATTTTTAAGGAAAAAACATCTTGTATGGGGTCAATCACTGTAGTCTAACTTCTTTAATTTTAGCCAACATTTTCCTTCATCTGAAATAGAATTATAATGGAAAATTTACCTTTCTAATGGGTGTTCTATGTGTTTCTGTGGACAGTCTCCGGCCCTTGCCTGAAACAATAAACCGTTTTATATATCCCAAATGTAGGTGGTAAAATAATGTCAGTTTTTTTTTAATATTTATTTATTCAAAACATATTACACTATTATAAGAATAGTGTAGTAGTCCTATCAAACAAAAGTAACATTAAACTCCTATAAAATTACATGATTTATTGACATTATTATTTCAATACTGTAAACTATAAAAAAATGTCAATAAAAATAAATAAGAAGTCACAGTCAATGTAACTAAATGTCCAGTAAAACCATAAAAATAACTTTATTTTAAGATGCATTACCATTTCGATTTCAAATATTGCAAAACAATAAAACACAAACAAAAAAAATACAAATCAAATCCTACATAAATGATGGAGAATGACTAGATAATTGCATGTTTGAATGAGATAAGTAATAAAAATCCACCAGGAATCACCAGAAAGCTCAAGAATATGGATTATATTGCTCTTAAACATTTCTTTCAAACCAAACAAATTTTTTATGTAATTTTTCATTATGTACAAAAAAAAAATATTCTAGTTTACACATTTTAAACTGGCAAAAATCAAACTTTATTAAAAAACATAATGAAGAATTATTGTTATTAACAATTTTGTATACAAAGCAGTATATGAAATTTGTAAAATAAGAAACATATTGAATGAAGTAACTTTTTGGAACCTGTTGTCATTGATGCTGTGCCAATTTCCACAGGGAATAAATGGAATGAAAATCCCAGTGGGGGTAAATGTTAGTATAATGAATATAAGCATTACGAGATTTCTATTTACTTGTATCATGTATAGAGATTGCTAAATCTCAAATGTTAAAGTTCTCATACATTTGACAACCCTGGGCGCCACAGACGCGGCTGCGACAACACAGGCTGTCAGACACAAGCTTTACAGCACTTAATTTTGGGGATAGGCTAATTGGTGTGAGTGTGGAGAATATTTATTTATTCATATATCAAGGTATCCTTGTGTATGTTAAAGAAATAGAAAAGCACAAAATTTATTACTTTTAAGTTATCACTATCAATAACTTAAAGTGAGCTAAGTATAAATATTATTTTTATTTATAACATAAACCAAAGGTCCTCACCTTTTTTTCCTGAACTGGGTGTTTTGGGAGTACCACCAAATAAGCCCTCATAAGCTTTTTTCTTCTTAAAATCTTTCTGAAATTCATCTCTAGTTAGTATCTCTATATCACCCCCAACAGCTGTTTCTGCTCTAATAATATCTTCAGGAAATTTTTCCATGTGCCCATTACTGGATCTAAACAAATCTGTAAAAATAATAATAATAAGTAAAATAACAATTTATAATAGTATATTATGTATGTAACTAATTATTATTTTACTTACGTAGTCCTTTTGTGATGAATTCATCTTTTCTACTGCAATTATACTTGTAAATTGAGTTAGTATTCTTCACATATTCACTGAAATAAAGTAAAAATAAAATTAAAGTTTAATACATAGTGAGAGAGATGGTTTCACATATACCCTAAAACAATAAAACGGCATGTCACAAAAGAGAGAAATAAAAATTAGTAGCAAAATAAAAATAGTAGAAACTACACATAAGTGTAAATCAGCATTAGTACAGATTAAAGCAGCCTATTTTAAATTTTGTTTTTTTTAAACACCACTGTGTAAGGATAGTGGCACTCGATTCCTTGTGAGTACACCATTAACGACAGAACTAATTTTTACTGTTCATCCTTCATGTAGGGCAGGCGGAAACCTAGTGGACACACTTGCTATTTGGGCGGATACACTAGACTCCATCCTACCGATCTTATGAATATGTAGAGCCTCTTCCGGCACTTCCTAGGCTGCAAGGCAATGCCACTTTAAGCCATTGGAGCCTAGGAAATACCAGAGAAAACCAGAAATCTCTTATCTATTAGACAAGTCCGTCCGTCTGTCCGTGGTGCTGTTTCAGCGGCCAAACCGTAAGAGATAGATATAGAGAATGTTTAAGTTATAAGTTAAGAATAGTCTGATAAGACTACAAACCGGATGTGAGTAACGTAGCACTTCCGGTTTTCGAGAAATCACGTGGTTTCTATTTCAAACGAAACCACACAAAATCTCCGAAGTTCTCAATTAATTAAATACATTTTTTTTTTTGTGAACATTTGTTTCACTGGTTTGCTAGTTTCTAATAATACACAATGCCAAGCGTGGTCTCATTATACCGCTTAGAGGGTAAAACTGTACTTCCAGGGCCCAAAAGGTGATACTTGTTTTTTTTTGTAGAAAAGGTCTTTTTAACAGATTTTTTTTTCAGTCACAACACTAACCTAACCTAACCTAGTGTGAAGTATCACCACTTGATAAGAAAAGTTAAAATTTTCATTATTTTTTTCTAAAAAACTACCAGTGCATAAGTGTGACATTTTTTTTAATAATGTGGTTAACAGAAACCTTTTTAACAACAAAAATGCGAAATTACAACCAACAAAACTGTGAAGTTTTTACTTTTGGGCCCTGGAAGTACAGTATATCCCAACTTTGGTATAAGGAGTTGTAAAGATCATTTAAGAATTCCATGACCACATAAGTATACTTACAGATCGCTCAAGAACTCTTTAGAACTTATAAAGCTGTCTTACTTAAAACTCAGTTAAATCATTAGCAGCAAGGCAAATTTAAGATAGCAGTAAGTAAAAAATATTATTAATGACATTTAGTAAAAATACTGTAGTAACACAATTTGTATATAAAGTGTATTTGCATGGTCAAAATGCCTTAATGGATTCAATAAAATTTAAGAAAAATCTAACACAAAACATAGTCCACAAGACAACTGTATTACAAGAAATAGCAAGTAATAATAGCATGAATCAAATACCTTAATCTTTATGAAGAGAACAAAACTGATCCAAAGTCTTGATCAACAAAGAATACTACTTTGGTTCAGTTTTGTTTTACTAATAGTTTTGTTGAAATTATTTGTATTTAGCTTTTCAGGTTATATCTATAAACTTACTAAGTATCTTCTTGAAAGAACTTGACGACTGCTATTGGAGGTTTACGAAATGAAGGCAGGACATCTGGAGGGAGCTTCTCTGGGGCGACGACTTCTCCGGGCCACCAGCATGAGCCTAGTTTCACCCACACCACATCCCCGTCCAAATAATTAATTTCAGCCTGCTCACACATCACCACTTATCTGTTCAGAAGAAACGCACGACCATATTTTGTCAAATAAAGCTACTATGCCGACTGAAACTATTGGAACAACAAGTTCATTCTAAGAACACATTTTTTATTGTGATACACTTATACATAACAAATAAGCACTTTCAGTTACTATTTATCAATAAATGCTTTAGATTTGTCAAAACGTTAACAAAATATTAGTTGTAAATATCACCGACTGCGTACGAAATAATTTCTTTGATTGTATTGTTGGTAGCACTGAGTAACGTAATAGTTCATTTATAGAAGATTATTAGTGGAAATTTTATCACTTTAAATTATCGTATATTATTTAATTTATATTCTTCATATTATTAGGTTAAAACATAATAATCTTTACTTAAAAGAAATGTTATTTATAACCGGAAGATATTAAAATGGCTGGCGTCAGCAAATACCAACCTACAGAAATTACATTCGAGTGTTGCCAGTACACTAGAGCTTAAACCACAGAATAATAATGATTTCATAAACTGTCCATAACTGCCCATAGAGTAAAATTGGCCAGTGTATGGGCCCTTGCGTGTCTTCCATTTTCTCAACATTATGCATATAATGGTGTCAATAGGCTAGTTGACCCTCTTTGGAAAAAGGTTTTAAATGGTTAATAAATTTTCTATTATACCGAAAAAAAAATATTGGTGTCGATTCTAGCATGGTTCTCTTAACCTAAACTTAAATTTGACAGCTGTATATCTTTGTCATTCTCTATACAGAATGAAAAGGAGAGACTGATGTTAAATTTAGTTTTAAGTGTAGAGAATCACGCCTGAATTGACACCATTGTGTTTTTTTGAGACCTAGGTAGTTTTCCATTTACAGCACTAGCGCGCATTATGCGGCATAATGCTTAACGTTGAATGTTTCTACTACAGCAACGCTACGCACAATCGAGCACCCGCAAAAGTAATGTTTTCGTGTAATGCGTGCAATCGTACTAACTTAGTGGCAGAAAATTAAGAGTTTTTTCTTTAAGTTGGCATTGAGCGAAATGTTTTATTTATTGTTAGTAACATTATTTATTGTTGAAAAAAATTTTAAGGCTCTCGTTTCTTTGTAGCTTTTTTTAAATAATCCAAGTTAATTCAAACTGTGTTTAAAAAAATAATGTAAGTATGGATGAAGGTACAAACATTGACTTTTTTTTCAACACTAAACTTAACGCATTAGGCATCAGCATAATTCGGCATTGTGCGCCACTGAGTCGCATTATGCTCTGTAATTAGAAAACTACCCTAGAAAGCTACAAATCTTTAATTTTAAAATAGACTTTTCATGGACATACAAAAACGCAGTCGGCCATTTTAGTCTATAGATTATCTATGCTATGACGTCAAACTGTAGTAAATAAAAACTCGTAAGTATGTATAAAATAACCTATCCGAGTTTATAATCAAAAAAGAATTCTTATTAATTAATACCACGAAAAATAAAGTAATTATCATTATTGTATTGTATGAGAATATAAAAACACATCCTAGAAGACTCCAGGAAAGTTGTGGATTAAAGTGCCGAAAGAAATTAACCTACGCAACTTTATTACACTTATTCATATGTTGTATCAGTTTTATGTTTATTACTACATTGGTGCCAATTCTGGCGTGATTCTCTAAACTTAAAACTAAATTTAACATCAGTCTCTCCTTTTCTTTCTGTATAGAGAATGACAAGGATATACTGCTGTCAAATTTAAGTTTAGGTTTAGAGAATCATGCTAGAATCGACACCATTGTAACACTAAATGCACTGTACTTACATAGATGCCTTGTCGTTTCTCTGCTCCGCAGAGCAGAAATCGGGGTTTAATGCAATAAATTCACCAACCATCAATGCGTCAATACTTGGCAGATTTGTGCTTTCTGCTTTCACAAAGCCGGCATCCTTAATAAGTTTTGTCAAAAAAAAAAAACAGTAAACGGAAACTTTTCTAAGTGTTTTTAGATAAATTTAGTCAGACGAAAGAATCCACCCACAATAACACGCGAAGGACATAAATTTGTTTACTACAACAAGAAACATCACAATCATGACGGAAGTGGCGAACAGCGTTTTTAGTGTTTAAAAAATATAAACTAAAAAAAATTTTAATGCGACTCAGTGCCGCACAATGCTGAATTATGCTGATGCTTAATTGGAACGTGAATTAGTTTTCAAATGCACCAGCAGAGTGCGCTAAGTTCAGAGTTGAAAAAAAAAGTCAATGTTTGTACCTTCATCCACACTTATATTTATTTTTTAACAGTTTGAATGAACTTTGATTATTTAAAAAAAACAATTTGATGAAACGAAAGCTTTAATAATTTTTCAACAATAAATAATATTACTAACGATAACATATAAATAAAACATTTCGATCAATGCCAACTTAAAGAAAAAACACTTGTTAATTTTCTGTCTCTAAGTTGGTACAATTGCACGCATCACACGAAAGCATCACTTTTGAGAGTGCTCAATTGTGCGAAGCGTTGCTGTAGTTGAAACACTCAACGTTAAGCATTATGCCGCATAATGCGCTATAATGCTGTAATTGGAAAGTAACCGCTATGAAGAGAATCCAGATGAAAGACTGTTATGAAAGTAGTTCAAAGAAGTTCTTAGAATAATCATTATTATAAGAACCAGGCACATTTTGTCATTTAATTTTCCAATCATTTCCTCGTAGATAAATAATATCTAACTGTGAGGGCCGTGGAACACTTGGTTGGGATAAAGTTAAAAATAACTTACCTACCCGCAATACTCAGCTAATAATAAACAGCTGACGTTTGTGACAAAAAATCGTGTCGGTAAAATCGTACTTTTTTTTACCTAGCCTCCATCTGCCATAAGGAATAAGGAACTTCATTTCAAAAATCAAGAGGAGCTCGATGGCGCAAGTGGTAAGCGCGTTCGGCTGCGATCGTTGAAGTTAAGCAACTTTCGCAGTGGTCGGTCATTGGATGGGTGACCAAAAATCTTCTATCTCGAGTTCCTCCGTGCTTCTGAAGGCACGTTAAGCCGTTGGTCCCGGCTGCATCTGCAGTCGTTAGCACCCACCAATCCGCACTGGGCCCGCGTGGTGGGTCATGGCCCAATCTGCCTATTCCATCCATAGGAAAGGCTTGTGCCCCAGCAGTGGGGACATTAATAGGCTGATGATGATGATGATGATTCATGAAGGAAGATAATTGCCTAAGTTTTTGGTCTTAATTACAACTTCCTAAGTACGAATATGCATGAGTACGACAAAATCAAAATATTTTGTAAACTATAGTTACCCAGATAATTACTGTTACTGAAAAAACGAACCGAGTTAGAAAGACACTACGGAGGCCTTTTATCATTGTCATTGATGACCATACCCATAGATTTATTAGTTACTACATAGAAAATGGTGTCGATTCTGGCATGATTCTCTAAACCTAAACTTAAATTTGACAACACTGGTGTCGATTCTGGCACGATTCTCTAAATCTCAACTTAAATTTGACAACAGTGTTTCCTCTATACAGAATGAAAAAGAGAGGCTGATGTTAAATTCAGTTTTAAGTTTAGAGAATCACGCCAGAATCGACACCAGTGTATCCTCTATACGGAATTAAAAGTAGAGTGGTGTTAAATTTAGTTTTAAGTTTAGAGATCATGAAGTATCATCAGAATCGACACCATGGATGACATGACCCCTAAATTATGGAATACTATATTCCATAATTTAGGGGTCATGTCATCCATAAAGTACGCCACACGTTAAGGGTGAGGGAGGGGATAGACGAAGTGTGGCAAGGGGGGAGGGGTCCTCAGTTTTGTGACGTAGCATTTCAAAATCTGATTCTTTTGAACTATTTATCAAAAAACTTTAAAGTATTTTTTATAAATCTATCTGTTTATGTTTTAATTTGTTTTGTTGCCTTAGTTTCGAAACTAATTTCGGGACCGCTGTGTTGATTTTATAATTTCTAGATATAAAATATGTAACGTCCCGGGGCTACTCACAAATGTGACAAGGACGGGGGAGAAGTCAAAATTCACGAAATTAGTGTGACGTACTTTATGGATGACCCCTTGTGATCTTAATCATGGTCTGGATTTTTACGGCTAGAATTGTAATTAAAATAATAATTCAGGTCATTGAAATTGCTTTTCCCTATCTACTTATATTTTTGATGACTTTAAGTTTTTTCGGGTCTCTGGTGCCTATGATTTTCGACAGCCATTCGAAGTGCTAAAATTATATAGGTACCTGATATGATTGGAAGAATAATGATAACTTCCGGTGGAAATGAATCTTCATTAAAGCCGGGACTCCAGCGCCGTGTTTTCGTGTTTGCTAACACGATAACTTTGTTTCCTAACCGATTAGGGGCCTGGCCTAACATTTTTATTACAAAAAATCTATAACATGTTTCCCGCGACGAATGGATAACATACCCCGCGTTCGCCTAAGCAGTTTCATTGGGTTCCATTTCACCAAATGGCGTTTATATAAATTCTTTTACTCTTCGTGATGATTCACCCCTGGATTGGTAGTTATTTGAATATCCACACAAACGTCGCCGCCGCCAACCGTAGTTTCTCCCCTGGGAACCAGAGGGTTGGGCGTGGAACCATCAGATCTTTATTGCGCTGGTTCGTGGATAAGTTATGCATTTATACTCCAGGGTATCTATGTCTGCCATAAATTTTGAAGACCTCGTTCCCCAAAATGGGTGGCAATGGTAATGAACAGTGCTCTATAGCTATGGGTGGATGGATATGGTCAGACAGGAGCAGTAGTATTGACTATTACTAGGAGGGAAAATTGCGAATGGTGCAAAACGATTTGGTATGTATGCATCTACCACGAAATGTGCCTTACGGTAAACTGAGGCCGTAAGATAAGATGTTAATACGGGCCACTGAAAAATACTATGGGAAAACGCTAAGCCCTGCCGGATCGGATGCCTGGATTTTGTTACCTTTGTACACAAAAAGAATAATGTGTCATGATATATTTAAATATACATTATAATTTAAGCACTTCCTTACAGGCGATTGAAAAACATTGAATGTGACAGTTGACATTAAATTTTTCAGCCAAAACAGTACAAATTATTGTTAAGGGTTTTATGGCCATATTCGGAAAGCGTTGTTTGTAGGCTATACGGAACGATAACGTGCCACTATTGTATTGATTCCAGACAATATCCTCAATACAAAAAATACGAATGTAGCGTCGTCGTTGAGGTGAAGGTAGGTTCAATAGTTAAGCAAATATACGGCTGGAATGTATGTATTTTAAGTTCAAGTATTATTGCTAGATTTTTAGGTTCCCTTACCTCAATCGGCAAATAGTACGAGAGCCCACGACACTTGACCTATTATGATAAGACTCCCAGAGATATATACATATGTATATCATCTGTATGTGTATTAAACGCGTAATCAATAGGAGAACACGCAATGAAGATACTGCAATGCGAAAAACCTGGCAGCGCTATTAAAAAAATAAATTGAAAACCTCCAAAAAATACGGTTTCTAGTGTGTCGGCAGCATGAGAAGGGCTCCCAAAAATGAGGTATATAACTAGTATGATCGACGTCCTGAAACAAACAATGTTCATCTGAAAGATCATCAATTTCTGTGGAAGTAAAACCACTGCTACAATTTCTAAACACTGGAGAATGGGGTTGCTGCAGCGATTAAAGGCCCTTCTCATATTGCTGCCACTGACAAGGCCAGTCATGAGGGCTTGCAGCACTGCATTTTCTTGTAGTCATACACCTCCCCTAAATCCTAAATCAAGGAATAAAATCCGGTTGACTGGTAGAAAATGCCTAATGGCATTAAGTCCACCACTTGTACACTCATTTGTGCAATAAAGTATAAATAAATAAACGTAACCTGCAAGTCTTACCATACATACTCGAAACCGTATTTTTTGGGATTTATTTTATTTTTATTAATACTTTATGCATACAAAGGCGGACTTAATGCCGAAAGGAATATCTACCAGTCCACCATGGGGCGTTGTGGTTAAATAGTGGTAGGGTGCACAATTTAGGTAGAAATTACAGAAACAATAAATATAAATATGTATTAGTCTAATATATAATTACACATACATAAATAAGTACTTACATATTTTTTGAGTGTGTATGCTGTTGGCTGCAGATGACCTTTTACAGCGTCACCGGGTTTGGGGACGGCGAGATCCTAAGGGGACCTCAAGCCGAGAATTGGCGAGTGCCTCTAGAGGTTCTATTCCAGGCGGATGGCATCTCCCTACGGGGGGAGTCTCCTCTCTGTCCAGAGTCTGTAGAGCACTCGAACCTCAACTAGAGGGCGTCTCTGAGACTCGGACCTCGGCACTAGTTGTCGTCGGGGGCGGGGAATAACGCCCAGGTACGTAGCTATACCTGGTATAGCGTGTCGTGTGTAGATCGGGTCTTCGAACTCTTATCCTACGGGTGCGGTGTCTGCCTAATGCTAAGTTAGTGTGCAAGTATGCTAGCTGTGTAGTGTTGGTGTTTGTGGCCTGTGTGGGAGGAATCGGAGACGCGTTGGCGCGGGTGATTTCGTCGTCGGGGTACTCTAAGAGGTGCCTAGGCCGATGGAATCGGAGGTAAGTACTTACATATAAATAACTATACATACATATCCACACATATCTAATATATGAAATTATCGTGTCACAGTGTGATTTTCGTGAAATTTTATATGCATAATGTTAAGGGTGGTCCACCATTATTTTTTTTATGGACAAATTTTTTTGGTTTTATATTTTCATGAGACATCATACAAAAATACATACAAACAACCCAAAATTTCCAACCTTCTTCCACCCATATTTTTATAGCGATACGAAGTTCGCTGGCTCAGCTAGTATTATACATACATATATAAATATGCACGTAACAACGTAACATACATACTAAATAAATACATGATAATGACGACTAACTGATATATTTATTTGTAGGTAACGCTAGTTTGCTTCTTCCTTTAAAAGGTTCGTAGCTTGGTTTTGAAGCTAATTTTGCTGGTGGAGATTCTATATTCTAATATCTAAGGGGAGTTCGGATTTAAACCTTGCCTTGCCCGCTTCGCCTTGCAACATCTTCATTTCGTGTTCTAATGGTAATTACGCGTATAAACAGGAACAAATAAAGTAAATAAAATAAATTCCGAACATGACGGTTTGATTTTGAAAATTAAAATTTAGCTAACTGTACCGTGTTTTAAATACTAATGAATGCAATGTTCAATGGGAAAACATAGTTTTGACAAATGTAAAATAAATAGCTTAAAAACTATTTAAGAAAATTGTCTTGTAAATAAAATAAAACTGGGGTGCTTATCGCCAAAATTACTGAGTCTAAAAATAAAGAAATGTAGCTTTTAGCTTGTAGATTACAGGAAAACCTATTAAGAAGTTTATTGGGTACGTGCTGGAACTATATATAGGTGGCAGCACTAAATCGATAAAAGAGACTATGCGGACAGTAAAGGAAACTTATTAGACCTGTCATCGTGCTTTCAAATATGTAAACAAAATTATCCTTTCAATTATATTATTTTTGAATATGATAAAAGTTATAAACTACTAGATCCGGTCTATCAAAAAAGATCGTCAGTGTGGCCAAAATATATCAAAAGGTCGAAAGCTCATCGAGGCCAGCCATGTATAAGTCGCGGCAGCGCTGACCTTAGACCTTAGCGGTTGTTATTGCCCAGGGGTAAAAATTATGTCTTGAGGGGAAACGAGGTGCGCGGGTAGGCGTGCGTTGCGCCGATTGGCTCTCTAGTCGTACCTTGCGCAGCTGTCACCTCCGCGTTTTGTTCAGCGCTAGAGTTACGTGCCGCAACCTGTATTGAATGTTAAAGGGATAATAAACTAAGAAAATGAGGCTGTATTAACTGGCAAAATTGTCGCACTAACAAAAATATCCAATATTTGCGATGTGAAAATAATTTTAGTATGGACTAGCACTTAACCAGTTTTTTTATCTGTTTATTTCTATTTTGTGATTTTTATAACTAAAAAATACAATAAACCAATCAAGTTTTTCTGCTTATATTTTTTTAAGTTTTCGACCTCGGACTGTTGGATACTGGTGATCAATATCAATTAGCTTTGTATTGTATCTAATAAATAAAACTGCAAAGTATGAATTGTTCAATTTATTTTAATGTAATTGCTATTTGAGAACCTAATAATATATTGAAAAATATATAATTTACACAATTCATATAATGTACAATATTAACAATGCTTAAACAAAATAATTTAGACAGTACTTTTATCATACCTATTCCTACTTTTTTGTTTTCGTGATAACTACAAACTCATAACATTCTAGCCCTGCTATTCTGTAAAATTTTCACGCGCGGATCCGATGCGAATCCGCGAGTTTCCCATATAGATTGGCTCAGAACCGCAGCGGATCCGCGCGTGAAAATTTTACAGAATGTAGGTCCTGAAAGGATAAAAATTGTCTAAGCCCAGTGAGTACACAGCGTGGGGGCGGGCGGGACGCCCTGGACGGCAGCAGGAAAGTTTACAATTTTGGTGATACTAAATAAAATAAAAGGCGGCAAATTGTTTCGATTAACGGAGGTTATATTTTTTAAACATATAAGGAGTTCTATGTTTGATAAATATCACTTTTTGATTTAATCTACACTAACATCGTCTATGCCATCCAAACTCCGACTACCGAAACTCTTAACGTTTCGACTCTATTTGGATTTACGGAAGAATCTTTCACGTAATAGAATATTACATACAGTCAAATAACAAATTCCCTCAGGATTTCGATTGTGTTTTTATTGTAAGGCCTAGCTTACGCTTAACATTTATGAGTACATAAAATTCTGCGCTTTGTGAAGAGTAGTAAATGAGAGACACTATTGACATTATTCCATTGAGAATAGAAAAAAATATTGATAATCTAAATAGTAATAGAAAAAAAAACTATTGTAACGTAGCTACATACATATGTACATTTATATAAACTTGTTTTATCTTGCTCTATCAATCGAAGCAAAAACGTTTTAATTAACATAATAATGTATTTTCTCTTTCTTTTTGTAATTGCTCGTGGAAACCAGTTTTTTTTATCAAAACTATATTAGTTTTGCTTCGCCACAAGCGATAAAGATATTTAAAATAATATTGTATGTAAAAAAATACTATGCTCTCTAATAACTCTTTTTGAGCATCTCTGTCTGCGAGCTGTAGTCCTACGGTCTATTGGCAATTCAAAGTTCACGAGACCTTCACCTCACTATCTATGTGAATCTAGTTAAGAAATTACGCTCAAATTGTGGAGGTCATAATGTCACTTAAATTTAATAAGTATAATTAAAAGCCTACCTTAAAGCATGACAAAGTAGTTATTATAAATGAAATGATTGTATGAACAGATGGATATGAGAAAATTTTAAGAAAAAATGTCCGTTAAAAAAAAATAGTAAATAAGGCGAAAAAGACTGAATGATATAAACAGTAAGTACCTATATAAAATAGGAAGACAAATAATTGAGTCAATCATAAATAAACTTCGGTACAAGAGTAGCCGCATTAAGATGACACAATTAAGTCGTAATTATACTTGACACAATTTACACGCTACATTAGATCCCCTATTTTTTTGGTGGTTAGGCTCTACGGTTCGGCCGTCATCGAGCGCTAAACTTACGTAATTTCGAAAAATTAAAGGTATAGCTATATTGTAAAATCCACCGACATTATAATAATTGTTAATATCTATATAACCGTCCTAATTTTGTGGGACAAACCTATAAACATAGAAAGCTACACTCTAAAGGAGAGAAAAAACAATTAATTTATAGACGACCGTTCGATTGTCTCGTCTTTATCATACTTATCTGCGCGAAGAACAAACTGACTCCTTAGTTTGTTCTTACGTCCGATAAGGGTGCTGCTTAATATTTAACATGTTTTCATAGAAACTTTGTCGATGCGATATGAATACGGAGTTGTCAAAGTTTATTTTACAGTTGGACGCTCGGTCCGCTCTATGTCTATGGTCAAACCCAAATAGCCAGCGTAAAGAAGAACGACTTAATAAAACTTATAAAGGTAGGTAAGTATTTCTATTTAGCCTGCGTATTGGCGCACGATCTTTGCCCATTGTTGTGGATAGTTTCGCTGCACGTAGGAGAGAGTGCGTTGGATCTGCTTCGTTTCCTGCGGGGAGCATTGCGGGCAGGCGCCGCGCAGCACCAGTGGAGCGAGAGCTGTGGGGGAAAAGCAAAAGAAATTTTACTTGTCGAAACCCACAATAATAATTTGATCAGAGATTGAATGGAGCTAATGTGTCCCTGCTGCCGCGACCGGGGTGGCGCGCATGGCGGCCTCGCATTCGCTTGCGATGTTAGCGAGTATTTAAACACAAGTGCCCACTAAGGGCTGGCTGCGGCCGCAGGCAACCTCTGTCTGTAAGACCCTCTCTCTAAAATCTATCGTTGGTACATATCGTGGTTAACATAACTTCCGTGTGCCCAGCAGCAAGTAATTTTGTATTTTTTAAATTCTATAGATATTTTATTAAACAAATTAAATTCGTCTAAATAAATATGTTCTGGGGTGAAAAAGCGGGCATCATCTTGTGTTTTTTCCCCCGCTTCGGCCTGGTTAGATCGAGTTGTATTTTTATAGTCAAAAATCTTAGATATGAGAGTCATACTGAAATGCAATTTAGGTTTATTTTTTTAAAGCGATTTCTAGTTCAGGGACCCAGGCACGAATTTTGACAACTCCGTAAACGTATAGCATCGTCAAAGTTTCTATGAGAACCAAGCATCGGACGTAAAAATAAACTAGCTTTTTCCATACTAAATTTGACGATGACGTTACGACTAAGGAGCTGCCAAAATACGTGCTTGGGCCGCAGGAGCAATGCCATCGACTTTAGTTTAAGGCTCACTTACACCATTCAAATAAAGATATGATTGATTAAACTTCATCCAATATCACATTTGACAAGAACCCATGATGTAGATTTACCGATGGTCCTTTTAAGCCAAGGCCTTTGAAAATGCTAAAAAGTAAAAAAGGTCACCCCCACCCTTTCCGACCTCAAATCGCCCATAGCAACTTACCGCACTTGTATCATAACTAACTATTATTTATGATACAAGTGTGGTAAGTACAAACGAGTAGACGAATGTACCATAATGTTACCATAGTCACGAGTTTGTACCTAATACGAATCCGCACTAATGTTCTACAACGTCTTTCAACACATATGCGGGAAAACACTTTACATAATTTAAGTAATTAAGCAATTTTTTTCTAATAAGAAAATGACGCGCATTTCCTAATGGCGCCACGTGCGGGTAGTGAAAATTAGAACTACAACTTTAGTCTCTTTTTACTATAAAAGCGATTCCGAGGAGGTTCGATCGAAATAAAAGAAAAAATGTAAAGAATACGCACGGTGCCATGTATGGGAGGGCCTGCGTAATGAATTTTTACCACACGGTCAGCCGTATGTCCCGTAATTTTGAATTTTCGAACAATGTATACAACCTTCATAAATGCATTTTTCAGCAAATGTGGCGAAATTTTTTTCTCTTGTTTTTCTCTTTCTAATGTGTTGTCTTCCTTTTGAAAAAAGTTCCATCCTGTATTTTTTTGTTCTCAAATCCATAAAGGATACTTGTATTTTGACATTTGAAAACAAAAGCGCTTACTTTTCAATCTCTTCCCGATGGGGTCGCATGGAGCCTCTCCTAGCGCGCATTTGAGCTGTCTCTGTATGAAGCGTTTGTCATTGAGCGCGTCCTCCAGGGCTGTGTCGGAGACCGGAGGCCGTTGAGTCTGCGCCTGAGCAACGCACGCGCACACACATCCGCACAGGACTAACAAGTAGCTGATCTGAAAAGAAGGTATAATATTAATTTTATATGTATTTAGAAAAAACTTTTTACCGTTGTTAGTGAGGAAAACTCTCTTTGAGTGAATAAAAATAAATTGGAACCGATACAAATTATGGTAAAATTGCAATAATTTTAATTTTTGTTTTTTTTTCTCGCAATACTGTTTATAAATTGTGTGTTGCATAGAATGGTAAAACGTAGAGATATACTACTCGTGAAAAAAATCATCTTGCTCCTAGCTAAGTATCCCTAGTTAGATAGTTATTTTTTTTCCATGTGTTGTACTTGCAAGGTCCCCCAAAGGTGATTGCTTATCAGAACGTCTCTGTATTGGTACCGACATGATTTTATATAAATGTTGCTACTTCTTTTAAAGCTGTTAGTTTCTTACGCCCAATCATCTTATCAGCTAAAAGAGTGGTAAGAAAATATATTGGACGATTCAAAAAAGCTTTCAATAAATCAATTTCAATAAAGTTTATTTTCATTTCATTACAGAGGTCGTACCAGACAAATATCAAATCGGTAAGTGATCATCACCGTATCAACTTAATTCGTTCAGTATTGTTTTGTATGAAAATCCATACTGCACCCCACATCGTAACGTAATCGCCTCACGAAGAAACTCTAGCTTGTCCCGATTCGGGGCATTTACGTAACGATCCCCTTTAGTGTGCGTTGCAGTAAAGAGTTTCATCCAAATAATACCGAACAGTATACACGGTGGTGTCACATATATACATACGGTGATGATTCCTTTCCGAGTTTGTATATATATCTACTACGAGAATAGCAACAAGTTAACGACGACATATACGTAGTAACGCGTATGCGCGCATTCTGTACTTAGTTATATAACCTAATCTGTGTCGTAGGTAGCTTACACGAAATAGGACGATTAACACAGATTCCAAGCCACTAGGGCAATTTGAGGGTCTGATGACTGTTTAATAGTTTCAGCCAATTCTTGTCATACCTAGTGGTTATGCTTTGCGTAAGAGTGATATAAGTAAGTAAGTAACCGGGGAAAACCATTATAGCCATTCTGGGTGCTACTGAGTACCTTAGCAGCAGGCAAGTAAAAGTAATTTCAGTTGCATGATTTCAAAAGGATGTGTTAAATTTTATTCTCCACAGTTAGAGACGAAAAGGAGTAGAATGAAGCGAGTTCTTGGTATTGAACATTTTTTTTTCTACACCTACATACTTGAAAATGTCCGACAAATATTTACTTATCATTAAGTGCCACCGCTTCAACCTATATAAATTTAATAAAGGTGTTTCTTAATGAGTGCTAATTCAAAGATAGGATATGGATTTAATATAATTTATAACTTTTTATTACGTGTTGTTATAGGAACCTTGTAACGGCCACCAAAATAGACTGAAAAGTCACTCAATGAGTGACATGAAAACCTCCCCTGAATGTGTATTTTTATTACTATCTTGAGCTCCTCCATGCTTCAGAAGGTACGTTAAGCTGTTGGTCTCGGATGCATTTGCATTCGTAAGCACCCACTAATCCGCACTGGGCCCGCGTGGTGAGTCATGGTCCAATCTCCCTATTCCATCCATAGGGAAGGCCTGTGCCCCAGCAGTGGCGACATTAATAGCCTGATGATCATGATGATATAACAATGAATAATTATGAAACCACAATAACAGGCAAGTGAAACTTCTAAAAACATTAATTAAAAAGTCCTTCGTCGGTTGGGAATCGAACCAGGGCCGCCCGCATAGCAGACGAACTACCACTGAACCACCGATACTTGTTAACAAGGGCTGATTTTTAATAACAATAAAAAATTTAATGCGACATGCCGAAAAATAACAAAAAACTTTGTGGCGATAAAAGTTTCACTTTCTTTAGCACTTTTAATTCTTCTGTCGAGTGTGTTTCCAGCGCATGGTAGTGATATTAATGTTTACTTTAAATATATTCAATATGTAGAATAAAGAGATACTTTTCTGAGCTGCTGCTCCGTATACACTTTAATAATGCAAAATTTTACACGCCTTTTATGAGCAAAATAAGCTTTAAATGCGTACGAAAGAATTTCCGTCACATATTATTACAATGATGCGATGGTGTCCCCAGAGAACACCATTGCAATATGGAGTAACAAAACTTTGAACTAAGGACTCACGTCCGTGTTGCTTCTTGAACGATTCACTATCACAGTACAGTCGGGTTAATCAATGATTTACCGGCCAAACATGTAATGTCATTGGTGCAACAGTCTGCTCCAAAAAAATTTGGATTCAATTTCCAGTAAGGGTATTTATTTGTAAGTACAAATATTTGTTCCTAAGTCATGGTCAGTGGCTCATATAATTATGTTTTTACCATGAATACGCTCTGCATACTTTGGGACTAAATTATTGTTTTTAGTTATTATTTATTATACCTAACTTATTATTTTAATATGAACCCAAATTTTCTAACGTTAGAAGCGTTGATATTGTATTTTTATATTAACTATTTCCTTGCAAATAAAACACAATAAAATAATACATAATGGTGTCGATTCTGGTGTGATTCTCTAAATTTAAAACTAAATTTAACATCAGTCTTTCCCTTTAATTCTGTATAAAGAATGACAAAGAGGCACTGTTGTCAAATTTAAGTTTAGCTTTAGAGAATCATGTCAGAATCGACACCAATTATCTTCCTCTGCTAATTGATTTTTGACTCAACGCTAAAATAATGAAACAATGACCGAGAAAATATATGCTGTGCTACGATAAACAATGCAGATAGTGACATATTTTTGTGACAACACCGTTTTGTAAAGGACATACAAAATTTTATTCTTGTTTAAATATATATAACGTATATATACAGACTCAGTTTTCTCCGCACCTGTACATTGTTATGTGACTATACAAAAGATTCACAAGTAGTGAATATGTACGTGACCAGAATTTTAAAATGTAATGAATCACGAATGGGTCACAACTATATTACAGTGAAGTGAGGACTGGGTCACACAATGGTCAAGTTCCATGACGCGTTGGGTACCTCGAACAGTCGAAGTAAAATGATTTGGTCTTCCTCAGCCACATGTAAACACGTAAATGCTTTCGTTCAATAGTCCAACCATACTGAATAGGTACGTGAGGCGCTAAAATTTCTGTACCTGTAGCACGAGGACCACTATACACAGTATCCCCTCGTCTGTGGAAGTATATGATTTCTGACACGAGTTGAGAAAAATATTTTCATACTTATTCCATATTTTGCGTTCTATCTTATTTAGTAATGATTTTTAATTTACATATCAAATATCACGGATCTAATATATATATGTTTGTAGAGAAACTTTTCAGGAATGATTTAAGACAGCTATACTCTAAGTGTGTTCCGCGGAACCCTAGGGTTCCGTGATACCTCTGTCGGGGTTCCGCAAGAATTTAGAAATAAAAAAATCAAAACACCTCTCTCTGGTCGCTCCGCGGCTGTGCGGACTCCGCGGCCGCGCGGAGACAAAACGCTATGAATGTTATTTATTTATTTATTTGTATTTGTATAAGCTTGTGTTACATTAGCTGGTACAATATCTCATAAGTTTGGTCTCAACAATTTTATACTTGTACAACGCGTTCGCTCTAAGTTTGCCGGTCTGTGGAATGCGCGTACCCTCCCCCACGTGACAACAAAACTTATAATGTGTCATAGTTTTACCCAAATATCTAACGTACACAATTTTTATTGTTACAATTAAATAAAAAATTTCGAACGTCATACACTCATACCTATCGCCAGCGGCAAACTTAAAACGAGCGGGTAGGTATACTTGTAAGCGCTCAGTCTCTTTGATAAAAGCCGCCTCTGAATTAGACGCTATAGTTGTCAACTAGCGACTTTCGTCTCTAACTTCAAAGGATAAAGTCGATATTGTTTACAACGCTATTTTTAAATTTCTGTTTTTATTTTTGCTTTTTGTTTATCAAAGGTGCCGACTCGAGTATTTTCGAGAATATTTGAGATCGAGTCTAGGACTAAGTATAAAAGCGGCGATCGCGCGTTGGCGTCGTCAGTTGATGATTAGCGTTCGGAGCGATAAGTTACTACCTACTTACAAGCTCGCTAGCGAGAAACTGGTGTTCATTGTTTTACTGCCTGCTGTATTCTGTTGTCTCAGTTTTATACATTTCTTCCCTGTAGGTTCTAAATTTAGTCTCTTATACGCAGTAACGATTGTGCATTATTTAAACCCCACTATCCTGACTTGTAACATTATAAATAAAGAAGAATGGAACGTTGGCTTAAAGGTGTTAAACGTGTTCCAACAACATCTTCTAATGACGCTGAATGTTCAAAAGCAATGCGCGCGGAGAATTTAGCAATCACCGATCCAGAAGATGATGCCACGAGTGCCACGACGTCAAGCTCGACGGTTTCAAAGACGAAAAAAAGGAAGTATGATGAATCTTATATCAGTTTCGGATTTGTTGATTCCAACGGCTCACCTCTCTGCATGCTCTGTAGTAAACTGCTTCCTAATAGTTCCATGGCACCTGCCAAATTGCGTCGACATTTAGAAACCGTACACCCCGAGACTAAAGACAAGAATAAAGAATTTTTTGTTCGCAAAAAAGATCAGTTATTAGAAAGTCAAAAAAATATGATGCATGTAACACAAACTACCAACGAAAAGGCCACGGAGGCATCATACTTAGTTAGCTATCGCATTGCACAAGCAGGTGAAGGGCACACTATCGCTGAGAAATTAATAAAACCATGTGTATTAGACATAACAAAATGTATGCTTGATGAAAAATCTGCAAAGCATCTTTCTACTGTTCCGCTATCAAACGATACTGTTTCACGACGAATCCATGATCTGGCAAGCTACGTCAAACAAGAACTAGTTACACGTCTACAAAATACACGATTCGCTTTGCAAATGGACGAGTCGACTGATGTCGCTGGTTTGGCTATCCTGCTGGTTATTGTGAGATATCCATATAAAAGTTCTTTTGAAGAAGACATGC